GACCTTCAGTGACCTTCGGAAGGTAAAAAAAGTTGATTTTCTTGATTCAAATTTAGGTATATTTGATCACAAAAGACCAACTGAGGTCAATTAAAGTAAAATTTGCAAGATCAAAGGTCAAAGTCTTCAAATTAAATCACCAACTGTGTTTTCGAAGTTTCTAAGTTTTGGTGACTACAAATCAATATTTGTTCATGAAAGTCAGGATATATATTCCTCTATAGGTTCTACACATATTAGCAATTGACTATTTATTAAAATTGTGTACCAGTTTTGAGATATTAGGACTCAAAAACTGAAAAAAGGTCAAATTTCCAAACTTTTCAAGACTAAATTTCAACTTGCTTCAAATTGACCAAACTTTTTTTTAAAAATCATCTACAAGTTGCCTGGTGTTAATATATGACCCTAGATTTGAGATTTGACCTTTGGCTGACCTTGAAATTGCCAAAAACGCCTACAGGGCCTCCTTAAGATTGCTTGCAATCTTAAACCTCTAGTTATTATTATTGTATCGTTCTTTACAGTGCTATAGAAATTATCTTTCAGTTTGAATAATTCTAGATTAATTCATCATGATTTTGGCCTTGTGCCTCAAAATGATGTTTGCCAAGTTCAAGTTTGAGATCTCTCCAGAACTTTGCTTGTTTCTTTTCTTTATTACTCCATCTGAGACAGTTATTGTGCTTTATAATCATCTTCACTTTGTCAGGCATCTCAGCTTTAGGAATATGCTCCATGAGTAGAACAATAATCATGTCTCTGTAGTCATCTAGGAGTTTAACAAGGGCCATATCAACCTCAAACTGATTCATAGCATCTTTCACCCAACCACGACTCACCACAAATATAATTTTGCGGCTGTTATGTATGGCTTGCCCCATTGATGTGAATAAGGAACCACCTGGTATTATTCGATCATCAAACATGAGTTTAAATTTTATGTCCTCTCCATTCTCCAGTTCTTGACACAAATCTCTCTCAACCCACAATTGTTTTTCACTGTGGTAACTAACAAAAGCATCATGTTCTATGAGAGGGTCATGCATGTTTTCATCTTGCTCACGCTTCCTGGCAAGGAAGATCATTCTTCTGTACTTGATGTCCTTCCAGAAATATCTCAGTAGCACAAGGGTCACAACGATGAGGAATATGATTAAACCTCCACTTACTGTTGTACCACTGATAAATGGAATGGTATTACACTCCAACCAAGTCATTGTGAAATTGTGGATATATTCTGTGTGTTTGTAAGAAGGCGTTGAACAATTCTCAACAATGAATTTTTTTGTCCTCTTCATCATTTTCTCCGCGAGCCAGTTACGAAGGCCTTTAAGTTGACAATTGCATTCAAAGTTGTTTCCATAAATTGAAAGTCCACGTAATTGTAGATGTTTCATTATTTCCAAGTTGCTCGAGTCAATGTTCGTTAGTGAATTTCTAGATATATCAAACTTAGTTAAACTATACAGGTCCTTGAAAACATCCTTTTGGATATATGTAAGCCTGTTTTTCTGTAGAAGTAATGTTTCTAAGTCATACATTCCTTTAAACATGCACTGAGGAAGATGTGACAAGTAGTTACTGTGGAGGGATAAGAAGGTAAAATTGCTACGATCCTCAAATAATTGACAGAGCTCTTCATCCGTATATTCAGATAAAAGGTTCCCAGACAAATCTAACTGTTTTAATGTTTTAACATTATCCAACAGTGCAATCAACTGATATCGATGGACCTGAAATCCAACACCTCCAGATGTCAGATGCAAGTCATACAAGTTTGGCAAATCAGAAATGTGCATTGCCATTACATCAACTCCTCTCAAATTAATTGTTAGACTTTTCAGTGATGTTATATTCTGAAGGTGTATGTTAAGGTCATACAAGCTCCTTGACGGGATAAACCCACCTATGTTCAAAAGTCTTAATTCTCTGAATATCTGAAATGTTTCTTTTTCTACATACATGAAGTTCCATAATGTTAAATCAGTTAGTGATTCTTTCAACGGTCCAAATGCATCTGATTTCACAGTTCCAATAGCATTGCCTAACATGTTCAACCTCCCAATTCCGGAATAACGCAGTGGTTCAAAGAAGGAATTGGTCAACTCCTTTAGAAAAATTCCACATGTTTTTATTTCAAAACTATGGATTGTTTTATTTTTCAAGTCATTCATCACAGTTTGAATCCCTTTTTTTTCTAAGTTCCTATTCTGATTCAACGACAGTTGTTTCCATGAGTTTATCGATGCAAAGGTTCCAGGTTCAATATGCTGAATTGGGTTTATTTCTATATTTAGTTTGAAATTACGAGGATTATCTGTATGGATACCTTTAAAGGCATCAACTTCAATATTCTTGATGCTGCAGTTCCATAATTCCAGTGATGATAGTCTAGCAAATCCGTTAAAAGAGTCATTTATCAAAGTTTCAAACTTAAAATTGTCAAATCTTAATATAGCAGTGTAGTTTTTATTCATGTGTTTTAGGATATCTGCCAGAGGTATTTGGTCATTTTTTGTTTTTGCACGGCATAAGCAAACTATTTTAGTCTTTCCTTTACAATGACAAAATGTTGGCAAACTTATAACGTTCAACGCAAACCTATAATGTTCTATGCTTGCATTGTAGGTGTTATTTCTCATAACAATGTCAGGATTTGCTGTTTGTTTATCTGTTATAATCTGAATCATGTTTGATGTATCAACAGCTAGCACCACCATGATAATGGTAGAAAATATTAAGTAGCCCATCGTGGTTCAATTGTTTGTTTTTCACCTTTTCAGCATCTGCAAGATTCAGTTCAAACACCTTAATTTTTATTTTTTTATTTTATTGAAAGAGTCTCTTGAAAGTTTTTTTATATAGGTACCAATAGAATATTTATATCTCATTTATTGAAGGACCAAATATAGATTTATTGACATGTTGCCTTTTAGGGAGTGTCATCTCCAGTCCCATATACATAAGTCATGTCATCATGATGTTGAATAAGAACTTCAAAAGATTTTATAGGAAAAAATATTGAGTCTATTGAATTAAAGATTCATTCTATTGATTTTAAGCCTAAGACTGTATAGATGTTTATTTGATTGTACATATTTGCTTTGCTGATGTTGATATTTCCTCCGAGGGATGCAACCTTTGCCTTGAAATTTTCTCAATAATTTGAACAGAATATGCTTACCGTATTCCCAAATTATGAGCAGATCACAGAACAAAATGTTGACGAGTTAATGTCATTTTATTGAACAGAATATGTTAAATTGTCTCAGCAAGTTTAATGCATACATTTTCTTATTTACAAATAGCAAGGCATAGTAAAGGCATTATGACCTAATATAGCTTACTAGTATTTATAGAAATCTGTTGAACTGTACTTTGGAATTAGGCTTGTTTAGAGTACAGGAAAAGGTTATCAGCAGATAACAGCTTTTCCCTGAAATTTTTTTAGTATCAACCATTTTTATTCTCTCGTTTTGGAGTGAAAATGGTCAGTTTACAGGCGACTATAGGTGGCAGTTGTTGATACAAGTTCCTGTAGTTGAGGGAGATTGTTGAAATAATATTTTAATAAGTAACTTGATATGGATACTATATAACACATGGCTTTATACAGGGTGTCCCCAAAATATTTCCTCCAACAGCACAGATAAACCAATCAATATTTTCAGACATTTCTTACATGGTCATGTAAGCAAATGTGATTATACCCCCTGATCTTCCGATGACAGCCTGCATTCTTATTGCTACATTGGGAAGGTTTCTCTTTGAATGTTGGCTTAAAGTTCAAGGTCTCTACGCAAAATAGGGGTCATTGTAACAGCTCCCACTTCGTCAATATTTTATAAATTTACATTTTCTTCAATGGAATGAAATATGAATATTCACTCTAAATGTATAAGTAATGAAAAGTATTATACATACACAAACATGTTGAATTAAGGCTTTGAAAAGGTGTCAAAAACACTTCGATAGTTATATACAACCTTTAACATGGACATATGACACAGGTTTTGTATATGTATCGCAACATTAAGAACCTAAAGTAAATTGACATGGATATAAGACACACAGCTTTGTATATTTACTTCTAAAAACTACATCAGCAAGGGCATAAAGTACTTTGACATGGATATATGACACAGGTTTTATATATGTAAAACTCAAAATTACAACATTAAGGGCCTAAATTAAATTACCCTTGATATAAGACACATAGGTTTGTATATCTTAAAACTACATCAGCAAGTACATGAAGTAAATTGACATGGATATATGGCACAGGTTTTATATATGTAAAACTCAAAATTACAACATTGAGGGCCCAAATTAAATTGCCCTTGATATAAGACACATAGGTTTGTATATCTTAAAACAACATCAGCAAGGGCATGAAGTGAATTGACATGAATAATGGCACAGGTTTTATATATATATGTATGTGAAGCTCAAATTACAACATTGAGGGCCAAAATTAAATTGCCCTTGATATAAGACACATAGGTTTGTATATCTTAAAACTACATCAGCAAGGGCATGAAGTGAATTGACATGAATAATGGCACAGGTTTTATATATACATATATATGAAGCTCAAATTACAACATTGAGGGCCTAATGTAAATAGATGTGGATATATGGCACAGGTCTTATGATGTAAGTATCAAAATTGCAACATAGGGCATAATATGTATGTAAATTTACTAGATCAAAATTATAAAACATTAACCTTTCTATAATGACCACACAAGAGACTTGAAAAATGTTTTACTTAAATACATCAGATACCAATACCATGCTCAAAAATGAAGATGCTACGATCTTATTGATCATGGATGGTCAACACTATGATTTGGTTCTCAAAAACCATTTTGTACAATCCTTGGCCTCTTTGTGGAAAGTATAGGCAGTAATTATTTTTTAAGTTTGTAGGGATATTATTCTTATTGTATCGTTCTTTACAGTGCTATAGAAATTATCTTTCAGTTTGAATAATTCTAAATTAATTCATCATGATTTTGGCCTTGTGCCTCAAAATGATGTTTGCCAAGTTCAAGTTTGAGATCTCTCCAGAACTTTGCTTGTTTCTTTTCTTTATTACTCCATCTGAGACAGTTATTGTGCTTTATAATCATTTTTACTTTGTCAGGCATCTCAGCTTTAGGAATATGCTCCATGAGTAGAACAATAATCATGTCTCTGTAGTCATCTAGGAGTTTAACAAGGGCCATATCAACCTCAAACTGATTCATAGCATCTTTCACCCAACCACGACTCACCACAAATATAATTTTGCGGCTGTTATGTATGGCTTGCCCCATTGATGTGAATAAGGAACCACCTGGTATTATTCGATCATCAAACATAAGTTTAAATTTTATGTCCTCTCCATTCTCCAGTTCTTGACACAAATCTCTCTCAACCCACAATTGTTTTTCACTGTGGTAACTAACAAAAGCATCATGTTCTATGAGAGGGTCATGCATGTTTTCATCTTGTTCACGCTTCCTGGCAAGGAAGATCATTCTTCTGTACTCAATGTCCTTCCAGAAATGTCTCAGTAGCACAAGGGTCACAACTATCAGGAATATGATTAAACCTCCACTTACTGTTGTACCAAGCGTAAATGGAATGGTATTACACTCCAACCAAGTCATTGTAAAATTGTGAACATATTCTATGTGTTTGTAAGAAGGCATTGAACAATTTTCAGCAATGAATTTTTTTGTCTTGATTGTCATCTTCTCCATGAGCCAATTACGGAGGCCTTTTAGTTTACAATTGCACTCAAAGTTGTTTCCATAAATTGAAAGTCCACGTAATTGTAACTGTGACATTATTTCCAAGTTACTCAGGTCAATGAATGTTAATGCATTCCTGGATAAATCTAACTTATTTAAACTATGCAAATCCTTGAAAAGGTCCTTTTGGATATTTGTTAGTCTGTTTTTATTGAGGAGTAATGTTTTTAAGTCATACATTCCTTTAAACATGCATTGAGGAAGATGTGAGAAGTAGTTACTACGGAGGGATAAAAATGTAAAATTGCTACGATCCTCAAATAACTGACAAAGCTGTTCATCCGTATATTCAAATAATAGGTTCCCAGACAAATCTAACTCTTTTAATGATTTAACATTATCTAATAGTGTAATCAACTGATATCTATGGGGGTCAAATACAGCACTTCCAGATATTAAATGGAAGTCACACAAATTTGGCAAAACAGAAATTTGCATCTTTAGTACATCAACTCCTTTCATGTTCATTGTTAGACTTTTCAAAGCTGTTATATTCTGAAGGTGTATGTTAAGGTCATATGAGCTCCTTGATGGGATAAACCCACCTATGCTCAAACGTCTTAATTCCCTGAATATTTGGAATGTTTCTTTTTCTACATACATGAAGTTCCATAATGTTAAATCAGTTAGTGATTCTTTCAACGGTTCAAATGCATCTGATTTCACAGTTCCAATAGCATTGCCTAACATGTTCAATCTCCCAATTCCGGAATAACGCAGTGGTTCAAAGAAGGAATTAGTCAACTCCTCCAGAAAAATTCCACATGTTTTTATTTCCAAACTATGGACTGTTTTATTTTGCAAGTCATTCATCACAGTTTGAATCCCTTTTGTTCCTAAGTTCCTATTCTGATTCAGCGACAGTTGTTTCCATGATTTAAATGCAGCAAAAGTTCCAGGTTCAATATGTCTAATGGGGTTGATTTCTATTCTTAGTTTGGCATTATAGGGATGATATATACTTATACTTTTAAAGGCATTGACTTCAATATTCTTGATGCTGCAGTTCCTAAATATCAGAGATGTTAGTCTGGAAAATCCATTGAAAGACCCATTTAACAAAGTTTCAAATTTAAAATTCTCAAACCTTATAGTAGCGGTGTTCTTTTTATCCATGTTCCTTAGGATATTTGCCAATGGTATTTGGTCATTTTTTGTATTTGCACGGCATGAGCACATTATTGTTGTGATGCCTTTACAATGACAAAATGTTGGTAAACTTGACCTATAATATTCTATGCTTGCATTGTAGGTGTTATTTCTCATAACAATGTCAGGATTTGCTGTTTGTTTATCTGTTATAATCTGAATCACGTTTGATGTATCAACAGCCAGCACCACCGTGATAATTGTAGAAAATATGAACATTAAGTAGCTCATCGTGGTTGTTTTTCAGCACCTGAAAATTAATTCAAACGTCAATAATTTTCATACTAAGAATTTCAATAGTTTTTTGTTGGCCCCAATAAAATTATCAATGTTTTTATTTTATTATTTTTTGTTTCAACATTTTTTAACATTTTCTTCTAGGGATGGAACCTGTGTATTCCTCCAAATATTTCTGCATTTGTATGTTAATCTTCCCATCAATTTGAGCAACAATGTGCTTACCTTATTTAACAGATAATCAGTAGATCGCTGAAGAAAATGTTGACTTCTTAATCTCTTAAATGAACAGAATGTTATATCTAATTATCACTATAACCTGGCAAATTTATTACCTACCTTTACTTGTTTACAGATAGCTAGGCCTAGTAAAGCGTTATGACCTGATATAGGTTAATGTCCTTTGGAATTAGGCTTGTTGAATAAGGGTGTTGAAATAATGTTTTGATCAGTATTTTGATGCGACCTTTTAGTGTGTTAGAGAAGTGTAATTTTCACATAAGGTAATGTGACGTTAAAACCTTCTTAAAACATAAAATAACTTCCTCAAAACAGTATCTAAAATTTCTGTAAAGAGGAAAATTCCAACATTTTGACAAGTTGACATGAATAAAATGATAATGAACTTGAGTTTCATGAAATACTTCAAAAATATTTATATATCTTTTTCTTATCTTATATTTGTGTTGTTTGTGCAGATAAGGCATTTCAACATTTTATTTATATCTAGAATTATGTGTTAATAAGTGATTCAACAAACTATGGTAGGGTTTACATTAATGTACATATCAGTTTTATGTCACCACTTGCATTAAACTTGTTGACTTGGATACTATAAGAATCAATGTTTGTCACCAAATGCATAAAATACTCAGAATTTGAAATCAGAAAATATGTTTATCACAAAAGAACCTGAAACATTTATCACGAAATATGTTTAATCAAACTAAGTCATTCATTCATTATATTGATCTAAAGTTGAGAAAGGCAAAGACAAAACATTTTATAATAAGGGAGCATTTCAAAAGATCAATGTCGGAAAATTAACTGTATTTGCACAGTTAGGTTAAGTTAAAGTTAGGTTACTAACATTGTATTGTCAAGCGAGTTCAATGTTTCATGAGGTATTGTTTGTACCTGTAAATAGTGTGATCTCAAATTTATTTATTTAGGCCAAATACCACTGGATTGTTTCAGATAATCCTCAAATAAAAGCAAAATTGCATCTTCATTCTTCACCCCCCCCCCACACACAAATAATTATTTTTCACTATGCTTTAATGTTTGACAATTATACATTGTTTGCATAGCAACTACATCAGCCTTGATGTTAACAATATAAATATATATGCTTTTAGGCAATTGCACTGAGGGATACTATTGCTATAGTGGAGCTAGTACAGCCACCCCTACAGATGGCACCACTGGGGATATATGCCCCTTGGGTAGTTACTGTCCAACTGGAACACCCTCACCAATACCCTGTGATGATGGTATGTCTGATTTTCATTATCGATACAATTCAAAGAGAGATAACCCTTTAGTCCAGCAATATTCAATCTTGGGGTCACTTACACAAGCATCATAGTTTTTTACAAAAATGAAAAAAATCCCATTTACAATTTGGGCAATAATTAACCTACTGTCCAGTTGTTTAAAGATAATTTAAACTAAGTTATGTCAATTTTATTTAAGGTTACTACATGAATCATACCCAAGCAGCTCTCTGTGACATCTGTCCACCACGCTATTATTGCGTCAACAAGGACCGTGCTGACCCCTGCCCAGAGGGAAAATACTGCCCTGGGAATACTGGCTTTAACTGGGAACTCTGCCCTAAGGGGACCTATGGACCAACTGAGATGTTATCCTCAGATGGGGAATGTACACAATGTGATGGAGGGTCATATTGTAATGTAGCAGGGTCTAATGTTGTATCTGGACCTTGTTCCCCAGGCTACTACTGCCAGTGGGGAGTGGACACGGCTTCCCCCAGTAACAACAACACAGGATCTGGAGGTAGTCATTTTCTTTGATTTTTTTTCTTATGCACTAGAGATCCTAACTGAGCTCTAGGTAGCCTACTTGTATTTTAGTTTATGTATGTATATTGTATAGAACTTTTAATTATCATAAACTTTATAATGAATGAATGATAATTGAAATGTTGAATGCAAAAAAATAAAATAGAGAAGCCATTCAGAAATTTTACTCAAAAATATATAGTTACAATTACAAGTGCCATGTGAAGACAAAAAAGTATTTAGAAACACATATAGAAAAGGAACATTTAAGGCACACCCACTGCCAGTTATGAGGTAATATATCTCCAGCATTGCAAACACCGAACTAAGTATTGATGCTATTTATTTTAAGATGGCTGTCCTGTGGGTCACAAGTGTCCAGGAGCCACCCAGGATCCCATTGGATGTCCCCCAGGGACCTACAATGACCTGACCCACCAACCAGATTGTCAAGCATGTGTAGCAGGCTACTTCTGTCTTGCCAACAGTACAACATACATCAACACGCCCTGTCCACCAGGTATGTAAGATTATATTGAAATGACATGTTCCTTCTAGTCAATTCTTTAATATTAAACTATGGCTATGATAATATAATAGGCTTGAAATCCTGTGAATGAATAGCACTGATGTAATTCATTTTATGGAATATAACTATTTAGATGATGTCAATCAATGATGACTAACTAAATTGGCTTGAAATGATGTTAGCTCTGAAAGATCATATATCGTAAAGGACAATTAATATGTTCATCTTATTTCTTTGAAGCATTAAACCAAATTGGTGATGAGAACTTCAAAGTGTGTGAACTCCATCAGGTGCTGCTCTCAATCAGTCATACAGTAGAGCCCAAATAGGATCTTTGAATGATGATTTTGCATATCTGACTCGATAAATCTTATATCCGTGATTTACGTTTCAGGTTCTTACTGCCCCGAGGGAACACAATCAGCCAATCAGTATGAATGCCCTGCAGGAACTTATAACAACCAGACAGGGATGGACGATGAATACGATTGTCTGCCCTGTCCCGCTGGCAAATATTGCGCTGGAGCCGGCCTGTCTGCCCCCACAGGAGATTGCGCACCTGGGTATTATTGTTCCCGCGGAGCCTACTCAGACAAACCCAAACCTGAAGTAAATGGCACAGATTTCTACAGCGTAAATACTAGCACTTGCCCCATCTATTCTCTGAATTCAACTGGTGATATCTGCTCCCCTGGTGAATATTGTCCTGAGGGGTCGGAGTATCCTCTCCCATGTCCCCCAGGGGAATATTGCGAGATTTTCGGGCTTGGAACGCCATCTGGATTATGTGAGGCAGGATTTTATTGTAGCGGGAATGCAACGCAGCGTGATCCTATAACATGTAGTGAAGGACACTATTGCCCAGAGGGCACCACTATAGAAGTAGCTTGCCCCCCAGGAACTTACTCTGGTATGATTGTCTTAAATTGGTGATTCAACATAATGCCATTAAAATGATATAATAATTATATTATTAATTACTTCTATTTTCTTCATTAAATGCTGTTTGATCATCATGAAATAATTTATAATTGAAAAGTAAAGAAAAAATTCAAAGGATAGAATAAAACAAAAACTTTTTATTATTTTTGTAGATCGTCGTCAGAACATCAACATAACGGACTGCCTTTCTTGCACCCCTGGGTACTTCTGCCAAACCTATGGCCTTCCCCTACCCACAGGCAAATGTTCCTCAGGTTACTACTGCCCTGGGGGTCAGGATACATCCACCCCGGAGGTGTACAGGTGCAGTCCAGGACATTTCTGTGAGGAAGGAAGCTTCAATGAGACTGGATGCCCCTCAGGGTGGTACCAACCGCATTGGTCACAAGATACTTGTGTGATGTGTCCTGCTGGGTCTTACTGCAAGGCATTTGGTGAGTGAAACATGAATGAATCACAAAAGTCTGAGCAAAGTGCAAATGTCTGTGAATGAAAAAGAAGTTTGGAGAATGAAATCCACTCATTTAGTGAGTTTTACATAATAATTCGAAGTGAAACAACAATTTAGGGAATGAAACACAATAGTTTGAGATTATAAAACACACATTTGGTGGATAAGACACTAACGTTGTGCAAGTCTAGAGTGTTGAAGATTTTATCGATATGATATTTGGAGTTGTTTTGTGAATCTAATTTCCTCTTATGTTGTCCATGTTCCTTCAAAACAATTTCATTATGCTTGTGCATTCTATTGTTATAAACACAACCAATGATGTACATTCAGGTGATTATGAGGATCTTGACGCTCCTAACATGACTACCAATGGAAACTTCACTGGCAGATTCCGCAGCTATCGTGGAGTTTCAGTTCCAACAGCCTGTCCCCCAGGGTCATACTGCCCCCCTGGGACAGAGGACGCCATGCAAAACCTCTGCCCACCAGGGACTTACAGTAATAAGACGTCACTCCAGAATGAGACTCAATGTACACCATGTGACCCTGGAATGTGCTGCACAGGGCAAGGTAAGTCTAGTATTAAAGGGTTCCGATTAGCATCCCGTATAAAAACAATATGGCGGCTCCAGGCGAATCAACTGGATCAGTCCATTTTTAAGAAATAAGGGGAGTTCTCAAGGAGGATTGGCTCCCAGAGTGCAACATCGATATTCTGTCCCATATATGGGCATGTCGTGATACAAAATTTGAATTCAAACAGCCACCATTTTGTTCACTTCAGCATTTGAATCGTGAATTTTGGTCTTGTTTCCGAATGAAAAATTCCAAAACTCAGGAGAAATGATCGAGATATTGGTTCGAATCTTTTGGACTGTTTATTTTGAATTTATAGTTGGTTATAATTTCAGAAAATAACGACATTTCGACGATTTCATTGTTGGAAAATATCGAGTTTCGATCCTGGGAGCCAATCCTCCTTGGGGAGTTCTGTAAAATCCAGTTTATTGAAATTGTCTTTGAGATAAAGTAATCCGTTTATAATGATTTTGAAAACGTTATCCAAAGAGTGATTGCGTTCAAATAATACATGTACAACAGCCAATATAAATTCTTGTATTAGAAACCGGTTTGTCTTACTTTGTTTCATTTGTAGGATATTTCATATGCCAAGCTGTGTGCTATTACGTTATGGGGAAATTTAGATGCCAATTTTTCCTTATTATACACAAATAGAATATCCTGAAACTTCACCCATAAATGTGGAATTGATTTGTCAAAATAAAAATCACCCTTTTATAAATGTGTGACGATCTATAATATAATTATGCTATATAACAGTTAGAGGTGTTGACACAACGACCTCGAACCTGTGAACCCTTGAGTATTATTCCGGGATCGGGCCTTTTATACTAAACGGTGAGCAACACCAGAAACGAGCGTTCGATTTGCTAAACGATATGCGTCACCCTTTAAGTGAAACTAAACGTTGAAAATGCACTTGAATTATCAGTAAAGAATTAAACAAACTAGAGGCAAATTCTTCTTTTATTTAATGTTCAAAACTGGTTGAAATTAAAAGTTATTACAATTTTGTACACATTCAATCATGGTAAGTCTATGGTAATATATAATATAGAGTGTCCCAAAACATGAATCGCTTTTTGACAAGTATTTTCTCCTTATACATTTATTTGATATTGGAACCTGACTTACATTGTTATGATCTCCAGGAAACACGGAGCCACTACAGCAATGCTCGCCTGGTCATAGATGTATCCTTGGAGCTGAAACGTGCACACCGACAGATGGCGTCACTGGTAACTACTTTTTTCACTAATTTGAGTGTAGTTTATGAATACTACTTTGGTTATACAAACCAATATTGAATCTGCATTGTTTTACCAAATACTTCAGCGGTATTTTTTTATGATATAGGCTGTATCAATAAAGACGATGGATTTCATGAATTGTTATTCTTGATATTTCTCAATTAACATTAAATCACTCTGAACCAACTAAGTGTTCTGTATCTAATCATTTGTGTCTACTACATATCTTGTCCAGGAAGCAATTGTAGAAATGTTCTTACATGTTCAATGATTGAAATATTCAATACATTGTCCTTATACTATTGGTGCTGCTCATTAAAATGGCCTTGTTTACTTGATTTTGTATACGCACCAGGATGTAGTGTATAAGCATTGATTATGGTATATTCTTATCTGGATACATGAACTTTGCATGTAGGTGAAAGTTGAATGAATAAAATGAAATTGATAAAATATTTTCTTCTTCCAGGTGATATCTGCCCTGAGGGTCTGTTCTGCCCAATGGGTAGTGTAACGGGAGAGGGATGCCCCCTGGGAACATTCAGCAACCGCACAGGGCTCCACAATAGTACAGAGTGTGAAAGTTGCACCCCTGGATTCCATTGCAGTCAGACTGGCCTTACTGCTGTCTCTGGCACATGCTGGGCAGGTAAGGAGGTTTATAAAGCATTAAATATGTGAGGCCACCCTGTCAGTGCATAGATATATGTTTTGTTATGCATAGTCATTTGTTAGAATTTGATATTCTTTAATGTTATAAAGGGCTCAATATTTACCAATTGGCATTGGATTGTCTTAAATGTATTTCGTAAAAAATACAGGTCATGATAGGTATATAATTCACTTCTCTGTCTTTTTGCAATTACTTAAATTAAAGTAAAAAAGGTAAATTCATCACCTGGGTCTTTGCATAACAAACATTTACAAATGTAGTGGCCTAACTTTCATATATTTTCTCTATCTAGGATACTACTGCAGTGGGGGATCAGAGGAACCAGCTCCCATAGGCCAAGCTTATGGTGATGTTTGTTTAGCAGGACATTACTGCCCTAATGGGACAGATATCTCCAAACCATGTCCACCTGGCTCATACCAGGACCAGACAGGCACACAAGACATAAATGAATGTGTACCATGCACAACAGGTTAGTTTGAGAGATTTGGTGATATATCAGCTCATATAATTGTTATATGTTAGTAAATGGTCATTAATGTATATTTAAACAGCAAAACTATTACAATCCAAATTTTGGACTCTTAACTATCAATTTAGTTCAAGCCAATGTATATGTATCTTGTACATTAATTTCAAAGTGAAAATATTTATAACTGTTTTGATCTTAAGTTGATATATCTAGGAGCGGAATAGCAAAGGCATGAGCCTTTTGTCCAATCCTTTTAATTTAAATCAATTTATACTATTATTTATACTATAAGATGAATATAGACACATAAAATATTCTAAATAGTGAAAATGTATCCTAAATATTTTGACAGCTAAATTGTTCTTTTTAGGTTTCTACTGTGAGGGACTTGGTAAGATCAATGTAACAGGCCCTTGTTCTGCGGGTTACTATTGCACCCTGGGAGCTAACACAAGCACCCCTACAGATGGCACCACTGGTGATATATGTCCTGAGGGCCATTATTGCGTTGAGGGATCTACCACTGAAGTACCATGTACCAATGGGACATATATGAACCACACAGGGGCCTCTGAGTGTCTCATCTGCCCTACTGGATTCTTTTGTGTCAATAGAGATAGAGCTGATCCTTGCACGTAAGTTATGACATCCTTCAAGAGATTGCTAAACTAATTACTCATTTTTATAGATATTTTTTTCTTCCTGCAATTGAGCAAAGTCTACATAGAAAATATCAAAAAGACTTGATTATTTATGCTTTCAAAATCCAAAGTTTTTTCATGCCTGTGACAGATGAATATTTTGTTCCAGTCAAGGGTTCTATTGTCCTGAAGGTACTGGAGCAGATGTGGTACCATGCCCCACTGGAACATTTGGAAACTCAACAGGACTCGGTCAAGAAAGTGAATGCACTCAATGTACAGGTGGGCAAACCATTGAGTCATTCTACGGAATCATATTTTAAGCACCTCTGCTCTACCATAAATAGAGATTTAGATAAATCAATATTGCTTGATATACATATACCTATCAATTGTGAACATGGAAAATTATTCATATAGCTCGACAGTGGAAAAAACTTCTTCTATGGTTATCAAGATACTTGTATGTGCATTGGCTAGGTAGATTAATACTGATGTTAGGTTTCTTTTGACACTAGCTTAACTTTTTCATGATATATAAACTGCATACTTCTCAACTAGTTTCATATAGTATACGATATACAAACTGCATAAAGTTATTGAATTCTCAACTAGTTTCATATACAATATACAATTGTTGACCTCTCCAGAGGTCAACCGGCAAAATTGTATACCGAGACTGTAAACCGAGAAACTACTGTTGACAGAGACCGAAGGTCGAGGTCAACAGTGTTTCAAGGTTTACAGTCGAGGTATATGATTTCGACGGTTGACCGAATGGAGAGGTCTACAATTGTTTTGTTAGTCAGAAGAAACTAATAATACTCATATATTCGACAGTCATCAATCATGGCTTCATTTCACAATCTTTTCTACGAACCTGCACGCCAGCAATAATTTTTAAGAAAATCTGAAGACAGTGGAAGCTAAACTCTCTGTTTTCGGCACATAACTGCGTACTCGCTAGTAAATTAATGTTAATTTTGCGTTTCTATTTGTATTGTTGCTATACTCGTCGTGTAGAAAAGTCAAAATATCACTTTCATCAACGTGTACAAAATGTCCGACTACCATGTTTTTTCTGTAAACATTGTGACGTCATATTTCCCATAATTCACAAGTGTAGTACAGTAACATACGCGGTCAATAATATGATATCCCGTGATGCACAAGTGAGGTACAGGCAAAAATGTTGACCGCTAATTGACCAATCAGATGCGAGTATTTACACTGAGGTACTAACAATGATAATTATTGACCTTTCCAGAGGTTAACAGTCAAAAGAATATTCTGACACCGCCAACAGTCCAAACTACTGACCACCATTTTATCAATAACATATTTGCATAAAATATACATGTTTGTTGATGCCTACAGGTGGTAGTTACTGTGGAACAGCAGGTTCTCCTGCAGTTGATGGTCAGTGCCAGGCAGGACACTATTGCGAATATGGAGTCGACACACCAAGCCCTACAGATGGCTCTGGACACAAGGGGGTAGGAGGTGAATGTCCCCCTGGATCATACTGTCCCATAGGAACAACTGTCCCCATTGCATGTCCTCCTGGTTCCTACAACTCTGCAGGCAAGTGCATCAGTATTGCTGTTTAGAAAGATTTATGGATCGAACTACTTTGTTGTACATGTGTATAAACTTATATTATCTCGTAAAATTTTTATTACCTTAACCAACTATCCATTGTAATACTTTGTAATGATATGATGCAATGCAATACAATATAAATATAATACATGACAAATGCATTTACTCCAGTATCCTGTGGAACATCATGTCAGTTGTTTATCTATAGATAAACTCTATTTTCAGGTGGTCAAGCAAGCTGTTTAACTTGCCCATCAGGATACTTCTGTCTAAGCAACACCAGCGACCCCTATATCTCACCCTGTCCACAGGGTCACTACTGCCCAGGTGGCACTGAATATGACACTCAATACCCCTGTGAGGCTGGTACCTATAACCCATACACACAGAGAACAAACAGCAGCGCATGTGAGCTGTGTCCCCCAGGGCAATACTGCCAGGGGGCAGGTCAACATCAACCCACAGGCAACTGTTCTGCAGGCTGGTTCTGTACAGGAGGTGCATATGCCTCAATGCCTATAACACTTGGTAAGTACACCCCCCCCATCCTGCTACAAAATGGAATATTTGTTAAGTCTACATATTTTGGATGATATTGGAGGAATTGCGAAAATTAATTGAGAATTCCAAACATCTAACGAAAATATCATTGTTATTCCAGGTAACTTTAGTGACATCAATATGTGTTCTTGCCCAGAGTTCAACTACACAGGAGGCAAGTGCCAACCTGGCTCTTATTGCCCACTGGGATCAGCCATCCCCTTGGACTGCACACCAGGATTCTATTGTGATGACTATGAGCTGGCCACACCCAAAGGTAAAGCAATATAATTATATATTCAATTTATTTTTTTGAAGATTACACATTACTATTATCAAGGAAATGTGTGTCAAAATATTTTTCGGAGTGGTCAACGATACTCTGTGTCATGAACACAAAGTTGTAAAAATGTTACATTTACTCATATAATATGAAAATGAAATATTGTGACTTATTTAAAACTCAGATTTTCAGCATTCTCTATGACATAGAGTATAATTATTAATTTTCATATTTGAAATTCTTTGTTTTACATGTATTCTTCAGTTCATCCAAGCCATATTTCATATTGCTGATATTGTTGTTTTCAGCGGAATGTGATGCTGGCTTCTACTGTCCTGGGGGTAATATTGCTCCCAATCCATCTTCCTACAAATGCCCCACGGGCTCTTATTGTGAACAGGGAAGTGCCAATCCAACGCCCTGTAGCAATGGAACATTCTCTAACACAACTGGAAACACACACCCATCGAATTGTCTGCCATGTACCCCTGGGTACTATTGCAGTGGAGTAGGCCTAACTAAGGAATCTAACCCATGCAGCGCTGGGTATTACTGCCCTGGAGGTCAGGTTACTGACTCTCCTGTTGAGTATACATGCCCGAAAGGATTCATGTGCCCACTGGGAAGCCCAAGCCCCATCATTTGCCCAAGAGGTATGTCAAGTAGTACCCCCTTTTGAGTAAACACAATTTCATCTTGTATTTTTGATGGGTTAATACTATGTTAATAAAAATCATGTTGTAAGATTTTTAAAATATGATAATGATTCTTCCCTTGGTTATTTTCTGAACATCCCGATTCTTATAAAATATTGTGATTTTTTTCTAAACTGTTGCCAATTCTATTCTTAGGCCAATACCAAGACCAAGTTGGTGAAGCAACATGTATGCCTTGTCCTACAGGCAAATATTGCGATCCACATGAGTTGAATAATGTGACAGGTGTTATCGTCCCTGTTGATTGCCCCGCGGGCTACTACTGCCCTCTATCAACAGAGTTTGCCCAACAGAACCCTTGTGCCCCAGGGACCTTCAGCAATCAGACACAACTCACACAACAAAGTAAGTGCAGTATCCAATATACCATTACTTGACCAATTGGTAAATGAAGATTTAGGGATCAAGTCCCAATGCGGTACACATATCTGTCATATATAATTATTAAAATTTCTTAATTTAGTTGATGTTGATGGATTTGTAACCATGTTGCGATTTCCATGCAATTCTATGGGGACTGCAAAGTATTTCTTGCTCACTCATGAAAGGCCAGGCACTCATTTAGAATCTTCTTTATTTTTTGTTTCAACATGAATTATTCTGGTTGCTAGGTGACTGTTGGGATTGCCCAGGAGGTCAGTATTGTGAGACCCCTGGCCTGTCTGCCCCTACAGGGCTGTGTGATGCAGGGTTCTATTGCGACCATGGCTCCAATTCATCATCTCCGACAGATGGCACCACAGGTGATGTATGCCCCTTAGGAAAATACTGCGAGGCTGGATCAGCTGATGGCACTGGCTGTCCCAAAGGTAGGCCCCACTATTGAAATAAAGGCTCTTCTAAGACTCCTCCAATTTGACAATAAACTAGATTTTCCTGTGTTAAACTATCTCAAAATAGTTAGGCTGATTGTGTACATTTGACTTTCTAAATTGCTCCAAGGACTAAACAGCTGATGAGGGAGTGTAAACTACTTAATTATCCACTGTATAGTGTATGGTCCAGGAAATTCTATACTACTATAATTTCAATACTTAAAATAGTAGACCCAACTTAATTTATCTTTGATTTAATCGTTCATTCATCAAATTCAACTTTTTGTTGTTCAGGTCGCTATGGCAACAGCACACAGTTAAGATCAGCCAATGAGTGTAGATTATGTGACTCTGGGTATTTCTGCGCAAGCACAGGACTCACAGCGCCATCTGGTGAGTGTGATGCAGGACACTATTGTGAACTTGGAGCTCTGGCATCAAATCCAAACAACGAGACCTGGGGTTATTTGTGTCCAGAGGGTCACTACTGCCCAGTGGGGACACCTATACCAGTAGATTGTCCTAGGGGTACTTATAATCCAATTGAAGGTAAGAAAATAGAAATATGAAAGAAATTATTTATGAGAAAAACACAGTTGAAATAAGAATAGGTACATGTAGTTAGATGTTGAGACAATTGTGTAATTTTTGATCATCAATGAAAAATATTGTATACATTTGTTTGCCAAATTTTCTTGGTGATACATGTTTTAAATTTTGTATGTACGAGAGTTGTCCCAGAAGTAATGCACTATATGCTCTAACTTTCACATAACTTTCACATAACTGCTTTCAATTTGTATATGTATATGTACTTGTAGCAATGTTGCTTATTGTGCTTTGCTTGCTAATTTCCCATGCTTTGCTTCGCAGATCAGTCCATTATACTGGGTTTGTTGAATATCTTATAATTAAAGCACACACTGTACAATGTTTATCACATACTATATTTAGTGTTGCATTACATTTAACATTGAACAATTTCACTGTTACACATTTCACTTTGTGTTACATTATGCTGTTTTTCACATTTTACTTGCTAATCAGTGTTTTTGGCATTTTAATATGCACCAAGTTTTGTTTTGTATTTGATATTACATACATTACATACTCCTATATTTCACATTTGACTTAATTTCACATTTTACTCACATTCATTTCACATTTTCATTGCAGTATAGTATATTATTATGTTTCGCATGTCACTTAATTTCACATTTCTCTAATATTCACATTTTGCATTGCAATATCCTGATTCACATTTTACTTATTTTCACATTTCTCTAACATTTACATTTCACATACCATGTTTCACATTTCACTTGAAGTGTATAAACTTTGTTTCACTTGATCATCATAACTGTACATGTATGTAATTTGTAAGGCACGAGTCTCATAATATCTAATGCTTTTAGTTGTCACTGTTATATGTCATCTCTAGTATTGTTATATTAACTTGTAAAGTTTATGTTTCTGCGATGTCTTGTCTGTTATTGTATATCATGTTTGATTTGTGATGTTTGATGTCATGCCTCTCGCTATTGTGTATCATGTTTAATATGTGATGTTTGATGTCATGTCTGTTGTTGTGTATCATGTTTCATATGTGCTGTTTCTGTGACGTCATGTCTGTTATTGTGTACCATGTTTAATGTGCGCTGTTTCAGTGATGTCATGTCTATTATTACTGTTTACGTAACCTGTGATTGTTACAGAATCTGCGCTTTATAGTCTGCTGTAGTTTGCTATGGTATCACTATCACAGGGAAATAAAAAAAATGAAGGAGCCGAGATTGTTACATGATTGTATTTCATTACAGGGAAGACAGAGCTGAATGATTGCTTAGCATGTGAACCTGGATTCTACTGCCAGATAAGTGGCAAGCGAAATGTAACTGGCAAATGCTCACCTGGATACTATTGCACTAGTGGGGCCAAGGATCCTAATCCAACAGGTGAGAAAATATATGTTAATTTACATCACAGTGTTACAGCTTTCATCTTCCAGGCTCATAAGAATGTAATGTCCAACTCTATTAATAGGACCTTCTCAGAAAACTGTTGAATTTTGTAACTTATTTCTTTTGAATATATAAAAAGAAAGGATGATTTATTTAATATACCAAACCAGGGGTGTGTCTTTAGTATTTTTATTACATCAGAATGTTTGTGAGATTTCATTAAGTAGTGCATTAAACATACTTTTCTTTTATACATATCTGTATATAATTCACGTCTCGAAAATTAATTGAATTGAATTTTCATAGATGGCATAACTGGAGATGTGTGTCCGATTGGTCATTACTGTCCTGAGGGAAGCACCAGAGAGATCCCATGTACCAACGCCACCTATATGAACCACACTGGGGCATCAGAGTGTTATGACTGCCCAGCAGGGTTCTATTGTACCAGTGGTGATACAGCTGACCCCTGCCCAAGGGGATATTTCTGCCCACCAAGGACTGGAATCACCCTACAGGCCTGCCCAGCAGGAACCTATGGGGCATCATTATCACTAACAGACTCAAGTGAATGCACTGCATGTACTGGAGGGATGTACTGTGCTACAAGCGGCCTAGCCTATCCTACAGGATCTTGTTCAGCTGGGTTCTATTGTACAGAGGGTGTAGATGTTAGTAGTCCAGATACTGGGGTGACCTTCACTGGGACTGGAGGCCCCTGTCCACCTGGCTATGAATGCCCAATGAACACGACAGCCCCTGTGCCTTGTCTCTCTGGAATGTACTCCCCTAATAGTCACATGGCAGCCTGCTTAGCTTGCCCTGTAGGCTTCTACTGTGAGAATACAACAGTTGTACCTATTGCATGTCCTTATGGGCATTATTGCCCAGAGGGAACCCAATTCGCCACTCAGAATGCTTGCCCAGAGGGAACATACAACAATGGAACAGGTGGTGGGAACCTTACAGCATGTCAAGAGTGCCCTCCTAGTTACTACTGCGAGAATACTGGCAATGTTCTACCCCAAGGATTATGTGATCAAGGCTTCTACTGTGCAGCTGGCTCTTCATCTAGTAGACCATTCAACAATGGTAACCTGGTGAATATTAATGGCACCAATGTTGGCTTAAACTCCACCGATCTTTGTACACCACTATGGGATTGTGTCTGCCCAGCATTCACTATGACCACAGGAGGTATGTGTCCCAGAGGGCATTACTGTCCCCCAGGATCCCCCAATCCAGTACCCTGTGATGGTGGTCAGTATTGTGACAAAGTTGGCCTGAGTCAACCAACAGGTAAATTGGTTAATGTATACTTCATGCCCACTATATAAAATAATCAACTTTTTAGATGTGAACAAAATTTGTGAACAAAACTGAGAAAATTGCAGATCCTTATACCAATTCAGAAAGTTAAATATTTCACTTGTTTAAGATAAATATGATGGTCACTTTCACAAGTTTTGACGACCTTGCACATATCATTGACATTTGTATTTTTGATATATGCTTGTAGGAAACTGTAGCGCAGGATTCTATTGCAATGGCACAAGTGATGTACCTGATCAACATGAGTGTCCCGAGGGTCATTATTGCCCCGTAGGATCTCCACTTCCTGTTGCCTGCCCCCCAGGAACCTACATCAACTCCACACATAATGATGATGAAACAGACTGTGTTAACTGTACAGGCGGAATGTACTGTATGGGTATGTACATATTTATTTTAATGAGTTTTGTGTAGCTCAAATTTAATTTATATTGTTCAGATGTGTGATTGGTTCATGATCTGGAGAGAAATTGAAAGCTATCCAATAGAAATGGGGACACATCCTTAATTCCACTAAGTCATTTCCTAATAATTGAATTAAAGAATGAATCATTTATGCAATAACAATTGAATATTAGAAATAAGACATGAGCGTTTATGTGATTATAGGTAGTGGTAATGTTAAACCAGATGCTCCGTGTCTCCAAGGCTACTATTGTCCCGGGGGTCAGGCTGCTGATTCCGCCCCAGAGCTTTTATGCTGGATAGGTGCGTAAAGAAGCCTTTGAAACATTAGCTTCTTTCTGACGTGACTGGATGAATGAATTGGAAAATGCCTTACAAATTATTTCTTATAGATCTTTTTGAATTGAATATCAGTGCCAGGTATTTGCAGTAAATAACCACTCGTGTTTGGTGACCTGTATGTGCATAATGAATATGAGCACTTGTCTATTCTGAATTTGTAGTCCTCAATTGTTGAATGTTGAAATAAAATAATCTTGTATATATTAATTTTTTGTTGTTATTAGGTCACTATTGTGAGGAGGGTACAGTTCTGCCTGTAGCATGCCCCAATGGAACATTCCAGCCCAATTCAGGCAATAGTGATTGTGTACTATGTTCCCCAGGCTACTATTGTGACTCAAACAATGGTAAGTCATATACTATATGTATCATTTTATGGGTGATTTTTAATGGATGTATACTCTTTGTTCAGTGGTGTTTTACACTTTTTTCCTTACTTGGAATGGTGGTTGGAACAACAGAATCGTCATTTTTGAAATTTTGGTGATAGTATAGTCTAAACAATCCAGTAATTGAACATGTATTAATGTTTAGAAATGTTTTAAACAAAATAATTGGTTAGTTTACAATTATTTCCATATATGTAAATATATTTCTTTCTACTATTAAAAGCAAATAAAAAATATATGACCAATTTATTTTAGCCAATGTTACATATGTCGGAGGTAGGATGTGTGCATAACTGTAATGTTACTCTAATCAAACTCATCATTGTCAGCATCGTTTAATTGTTTCACTTAAATCACAAAAACAAGAGATAAATTCTTTTGTAATATGTCATTAACACTGTACCTATTTCCCTAACACCATGAATTATGAATTATACAATTTGTTTTAATGTAACATTGCGACAGTTGAAACTGGCAGGAATCTAAGTTATAATTTCCTGCAAGATCCATTGCCGTTAATATAATATCTGTAATTATAAAAAACGAGAATTCAGAGGAATAATTACTTTGAACTGCACATGTTTTTCAATAATGTTAACATAACATACTTCTTTTTCAATAATGTTAACATAACATACTTATTTTTCAATAATGTTAACATAACATGCATGTTTTTCAATAATGTTAACATAACATACTTGTTTTTTAATAATGTTAACTTAACATACTTGTTTTTCAATAATGTTAACATAACATGCATGTTTTTCAATGATGTTAACATAACATGTTTTTTTCTAAATTCTCACATCTTACAACACTCTAATGAAATATTCTTAAGGTGGGAAGAGTAAAATGAATTTTGGACATATTGGTATATGATGTCATTTGAAAAGTCTGAGGGATTGAAAATATTTTATTCTTTCTTCCTTAATCTTAAATTTGAACAATATAATAGCTAACAAAATCTTAACAAATATTTAAATACATATATTCACCACTCTCTTGATAGCTGATACATATTTTTGTTCATGTATGAATTTGAATTTAACAATAACCCTGCATAATTTTTTGAAATAAAGTTAATTTGCATGCCAAACCATCATTATCAATAATGATTACAGAATACATTTTATTGACTTATATTATGTACTTCATTATATCAAAACACTATATTTACTTGTAATAAATATTTCAAAATATATTTGTGACCCACGGTATATCTGATTAGATCATTACAATTTTCTACAATTGTAGGTACCCCTGTGGTTAACCCTACAGTATGTCCTGTGGGTCACTACTGTCCCTCAGGGAGTATCCTACCAACGCCTTGCCCCGCAGGAACATATGGACCCTCAACCCTCTTCCAGACAGAGCAAGATTGCCCCAATTGTACTGGTAAGTGTTCTTAACATAGAACTCATCATGTTGAAAACATCATCAGAATGGGCTGTTCTATTGTTAGCTTTTAATTTTAATTGAAGTACTAATCCAAAACAATCCAATTTGTTTGTTTTAAAGTATGAATAGAATTGAAAATGACATTCTGATTGTCACCTTGACCTAGCTTTTGAATAGAGCTCTCAACACAAGGGAAATTAAACATGTGGATTTTCTACACCCTGGCTTTGCCGAGGCTTTTTTTTTTTTAGGTTATTGTTATTTATTTCTATAATATTCAACATAATTATTTGCATAGATTGTGAGGGGCCGAGGCTACATAGCATTATTGGCCCCCCTCTAGAAAGTTAAAACATATAATAAATCACTGGAGTGTGTAGGATTGCAACGGACAGACGGTCGTCCACCAGGTCTTGCCCATGATGATGTATATGAGTGTTAATGAGAGATGATGTGAAATGAGGAGGATGGTCATTCTAAGATGTTATCGATATAATTTGAAGATAGTTGAAGGCATTTTGTATTCAGTTCACTATTTAAATTTTCATCTCCATAAAGTATAAATTCTATTTTTTGCTTTCTGGTTTTTCCAAAATAGCACATAATATCAAGATTGTCTAACTTTAGGATGTTCTGTATGTAATCATTTCTATGTATGGCGGTTAGAGGGCAGTCGAGTAAAAGATGAATCTTATCTTGATTTCGGTGGCCGCAGGGGCAAGAAGGATCTATGATGTTGTTGAAATTATGTCTAAAAAAGTCACTTTTAAGGGCAAGGTCGCTTCTTATTTTATTAAGTTTAGTTTCAGAAGACCTTTTCAAATTAAGATTTTTTGTTAAAATATTCTTTTTATGAAATGTATATTTCTTATTATAGTTTTTCTTGAAGATTGCTAGGGTTGGCGATGTTTTTATTTCAGTTGAAAGATTTTTCCAAATGGAGATAGGCTTTATGGCTGGTGAATTTAGGTATTTCACAGACGCTCTCACTGGTAAAACATATTCTCTTCTGGAGCGGAGCTCCCTTTCGGCACCAGGATTGGACAGTTTTTCATATATAGAGACTACATAAGAGGGGGTCAAATTTGATCGGACTTTGAACATGTGAATACTTTGTTTTTCTTCTCTTCTCTCCGCTAGGGTTTTCCAGTTTAAACATTTATATAATTTTTGCTTGCACGTACCATAAATCGCCCCGGAAACTATCAGGGCTGCTCTGTAATGGAGTTTGTCTAGTTGTTCCAGAGCACCTTGCGACGCCGAACCATAGATTAAAGAGCCGTATTCGATTTTAGAGAGGATGAAAGAAGTGTACATTGTTTCAAGATGTTTTGAGTTTACTCTCATTTTCAATGCTGATAGGGGATTTAGTAGTTTGTCAATTTTTGCTCGGACTTCGTTTATATGAGTTTTAAAGTTTAAGTTTTTATCAAGAGTTACGCCTAAATGTTTATGTGAATCGACTCGGTCAATTGAATTGTTATTAAGTGTCAAAATTGGATATGGCCTTTCAAAGACGGTTTCTTTACAAAATATTATTTCTTTTGATTTTGAAGGCTTGAAGTTCATTTTCCAAGTTTGTGACCATTTAAAAATATTGTCAAGATCTTTTTGGAGGATTTCGTGAGTGTTCTGAATTGGATGATCTCTAGGTACAGGTAAGTAAATGGAGGTGTCGTCTGCATAGATGTAAGATGTTGAGTCAATTACTTCCGGTAAATCATTTATGTATAATAAGAAAAGGATCGGCCCAATTTGGCTCCCTTGAGGCACCCCGCTGTTTATGTAATTGTCTTCTGATAAATGTTGCCGAGGCTTTGTCATTGTCATAAGTCACACACTGATATTGCATGCAACTTAAATTTGTTAATGTGTTTAGCTGGCATGAGCTGTGAGACTGATGGTCTGGAAGCTCCTACTACAACGTGCCATGGTGGACACTACTGCACCAGTGGGGCATTTTCTAGAACTCCTCGCAACCACAATGTAAGTATATTGACTTATAATACCAGAATGTACGATTATTTAGAATTAATATGAAATAGTTATATCTTATGGGGTAAAATGTCATGTCGAGGTTGTTGCAGAAATTGAAAAATTGAATACGAAATGCCGGAATTCTTCTTTTTCCAATTTTCATTTATCCTTTATGGTTGATACTTATTTTTCATTCATTTATACCAACCTTTCACATCAGCATGGCAATGTTAAAGTCAATGCTGAGTTGTGGTTATGAATTGTATTGGATTTTAGTTTACAAATATATTTTAGGTTGATCCTGGTAGTTTAGTATTCACTGGGAATGATGTGTGCCCAACAGGCTATTTCTGCCCCAATGGCACAGGATACCCTCTGCCATGCCCAACAGGAACATACTCTGAGGTAGAAGAACTTGCAGCAGAGGCTGAATGCCAGCCATGCCTGGGAGGAAGATACTGCAATGTAACAGCCTACACAACACCTAATGATGCCCCCTTGTGTTCCCCAGGGTGAGAATATTACATGTATAACATTGCTAAATCATGCAAAACATGGAAATGGTTTAAAAACCTATTGTTATAGAATTATCAAGCTCTATTATTAACACATAGCAATTGTCACTGGGGGGTATCGTGATGCAACAACACCGTGTTGTTGCATCAAGATGGCCAGACTTCCGGTGATAGATTTTCGTACGGTATTTTGTTTTCCCAATTTAAACCCATTTCTAGGACGAGTTGCTCAATACACTGTATGTACAGAGATCGCCTAATATTAAAAGTGGGTGATCAAAGACTCGACAAGATGCGCAAAATCCAACATGTCGGAGGAAAGGTATGTTTGTTTGTCTTCTCTTTACCAGTTGAAAGTCATTTTACCTACAGATGGTATTCCATATGCTGTATAAGAGACTCAAGATTCATTTGGTAACAGGATTCGGTGATTAAATCAACCGAAATACCTGAACTGAGTTGATAAAAGAAGCAAAATCAAAAACCCGTCGAACGAAAATGTTTTTTTCACAAAATTTTCTGTTTTTAGATTGCCAAAACTACAAAACCAATATCATCTATGGTTAATATACATAAAACTTAACATTACATGCATATCAGACGTTCCAACTCCCCTTCAGTATCGAGTAAGGAGGATGTTATGAAAAAAATTATGATCAGCCAAGTGAGTGATTTTACCATGTGGATTCTAATGATATGTTCTTTGCATTTCAGAGTGGTTGGATTTACATGTTTCTATTGTCCTTCACTACGAACTGTTAAATTTCAAAACATTATAAATCACCTTATAGAACACCATGAAGATGAAGAGATGAAGATGAGAAAGATTATTGAAAATAGAGGCAAATTTAGAATGATTACAAGAAATTTCTCTGGGATAATAACAAATGAAGTGAAATCAATAAATAAACACATAATTGTAGAAAGTGATGAATTTTTGACAATTTCAGTGATTGACAATAATCGAATGAAATCATCCAAAATATCTGATTCAACGCCTACAAAATCAAATAAAATTACCAATACCTTGGAATCAAAGGGTAAAATAAATGGACTGAAATGTGACTTTAAAAACTGTTCCATTTATAAGGTGTTTATAAGTTCAAGAGGTTTTCTCTTAGCAGTGTACAGTGTACATATCGTATTGTATTCAAACAAAGACAGAATAACAAAATATACGCATACAGTGACCATTTAATCGAATGAATCAATGAACGGTGATGTACATGTTTATTTTAATTTGGACATACATTTTGCATGGAATCCCATTTTTTTCTCTTTAAAGCATATAGTTGTGGGTGTATGATCTGCTGAAACTCACGCTATAGGCTGATCCATTCATTTCTGTGTTAAAATAGTTATTCCATGTTATTTAAGAGGAAACGTGAACTTTATCATGGTCAAATGGAAGCCCAAATCCCTACCTAAGTATAAAAAATTAAAGTGAGTAAAAATCTTCTCTTGTTTTTGATATTTTAAAGCTTTTTAAATAAAACAGCACATATTATATCGCATTTATATCTTTACATCGTAAAATCGATCACATATACGAAAAATGGTCAAAGTAATATATATTTTTCAAAGCATATAGGTGTTCTTGTGCCTACAAAACCTTATTGAATCACCAGTAGCGTGTAATATGAACACAAATAAATCTTTTAAAAATAACCGTTACACGATATTTGAATTTTGCGCATCTTGTCGAGTCTTTGATCACCCACTTTTAATACTAGGCGATCTCTGTACATACAGTGCAATAATCATACACGTGCAGTTAGCTCATGATCTATATTTTGAAAAACTCTCATTAGTATGCATGTAGCATCATCAAGAAGCGAGAAATTCGCGGTTTTAATTCCTCACTATTGATGCAACAACACCACTCTGTTTATTATCGATGATGCAACAACACCAATGCGCTGATGCAAAAACGCCAATATAATTTATCATTGAATATCAAGAGAAACTGTTTTATGTTCTATTTATAGGTGTTGGTCGGGACATGAATAAAACACGTGAGTGCGTGGTTCATGAATGAAACGTATTTTGTTTGGTTCCTTAATGTATTTGTCTTTATCAAAGTTAAAAGGATATGCAAGTTAAACTAAATACATAGGCTAAGTATTGAATCCCCGGGAGCCAACCTCATTGATATTGTATCTGAAAAATAAAGATTATTCATTTTCTAAATTAAATCCCCTTGATTTACCGTATCGTATGGAAATGTTTACAAAGAACTAATATAGCTAGACTTTGGAAATTGAACAAGTTCAATTTCAGACTCCAGATCTGGACTTTTTTAAGTCGAGTCATCCAGAAAAAGATGGATGGATGGATGGATGAAATAGGAAGGAGGGATGGGACAGAATAGGATGGAACGATAGGAGAGAATAGAGAAGAAAGATAGGATAGAATAGCAAGGAAGGATAACATAGGAATGATAGGAAGGAAATGATATGAAGGATAGGAAGGATAGATAGATAGGAAGGAAAGGATATGAAGGATAGATAGGAAGGAACGGATAGGGATAAAGGGGATAGGAAGGATAGGATAGAATAAGAAGGAACGATATAGGATAGAATAGTAGGATAGGATAGGAAGGATGGATGGAAGGATGGATGGATTTTTCAACATTTTCTTCGCTACTCTTGACTTTCTATCTGGATACCATCAGATCGATTTTTCTCGAAATTTCAAAAGGCCATAACTTCCGAACCGGAAGTCGGATCGAAATTTGGTTTGCAGATTCTGATTCCTGAGAAAATTCTATTCTTCATTCATAACTCAAACGTTAAATTTGGAGAATTTTTTATTTTGACCTACTTTTTGGACACCATATCTCAAAAGTGGGTTAAAATACTTTCTGACGGCAAAGGGCTAACACTATAAGTACACTCTTGGCTACATGTATACACGATTTCGAAGAATATAATTGAAGTGTAGTGTCAGAATCACAAAAATAAGGAAAAATTTGACCTAGATTTTGACCTAGACATTTTTGTGTCCAAACTTTGAAGCTAGATTGCTTTCGAGGTAACTTTCATTTAAAGGCTTTCATTAAATTAAGCTGTACTCGGTCATATATATGTCGTATTTTACACTTCAAAAAAAAGTTTTCAAAACGCCATAACTTCCGATGAGTGTTGGTTTAATGATATTGCAGTTATACAATGGTATTATATAGAGGTTATTTACTGAGAGGGATTCAATATTGGTTTTATTCCGGGACACATAATGATATTTCCCGAGGGCCAAGGGGGAATCTGGGATTACTGTACCTCCATCAATTTACCTTTTCGGGACCTAAATCCTATAACCTACCTTTTTACTCAATCGGGGAGAACGAATCCAAAGAGAACAATACTTCTACATGTGCGCCGTGCAAGATAACCAATAGCTCGTCGTGTTTACCGAGAACGAAAGATGTTTGTCCACCATTTTGAATGATACTAACTGGTATCAGGGTCATCAAGCTATGGAACAGGGGTTTATGATAATAGATTGGGTTACTATAGCTTGCAATGTTAAAGGCGACTGAACTATGTTATAAAACAACTTCCAGTACATTATGATATTTAAAAGTATAAATTTTTGAAAATACATATAAAGAATCTTCGCCCGCAGGACGCGTATTTTGAATGCCTGAGAAGAACGCAAATGGGTACTGGCCCGGTGTTGCAATAGTAGCATTTAAAAATCTGTTCCTCTCGAGATTCATGGTCTTCTGAAATTATACTATTAATTGGTGTTGTTGCATCATTGCTCAAATCAAGAGGAGTGTTGTTGCATCTTCGGTATGGTGTTGTTGCATCAATAGTGAGGAACTAAAACCGTGAACTTCTTGCTTCTTGATGATGCTACATGTATACTAATGACAGTTTCTTTAAATATAGATCGTGCGCTAACTTCACGTGTATGGTTATTGAGAAACTCGTCCTAGAAATGGGTTTAAATTGGGGAAACAACATATCGTAAGAAAATCTATCACCGGAAGTCTGGCCATCTTGATGCAACAACACGGTGTTGTTGCATCACGATACTCCCCAGTGAATTGTGAAAACTTGATTTAAGATATGCTTAATTATACTAGTATTTTATTTTAGCTTTTTAAAAATATTATTACCAAAAATTGAAAAATCTTTTAAATATTTAAAACTCAGAGATACAGTACATATAATGCTACAGTACAAGGCTCACTGATTCATTATCAACTATACTATGTATATGTGCTTCTAGGAAGTGATAGTGATCTATTGATACGCATGCACTGTAATATAATGCTACAGAATTATACTGACACTTTATTATGTACCCATAGATATGTCTGCTCAAGTGGAAGCAATACTCCCACACCATCGGCTCCCATGGGATACATCTGTCCCCCAGGCTTCTATTGCCCTGAGGGTAGTGCTGTTGAGACTGGCTGTGACATAGGCTACTTCAATCCTGACTTTGGAAAGGACGCCTGCACTATATGTCCTGCAGGTTACATGTGTGATACAACTAACATGACAACACCCAGTGATTGCAAGAGAGGTAAGACAAAAGAACCAGGATGCATCAGAATGATTTCAGATCTATTGGTTAGAATGATATTACTGTCTTACATACCATTTATCTACTAAACGTATACATACTACATATACATGGTATGATCTATTATGATGCTAGTGACTGCTCAAGCATATACGGAAAAGTGCTTATTAATGACTCAACGATTTCTCAATTCATTGAGCTTTTAGTGCTAAAACCATATAATGAGTCAATTGTTAATGCAAAAGCCATTTTCTAAATTTTCATCATTTTATAAAATCCGAATTGTATTCTTTCACTCTAGTATTTTGTAAATCTAATTATTCTGTGTATTAACTTGTTCACAAAATGAGGTAAATATTTATTCATACTATTTCAGGTCACTACTGTCCAACTGGCGTGCCGCCACGACCTTGTCCACCGGGGACATTTAACAACCAGACTGGATTGGACAACGAGCAACAATGTACTGACTGTACAGTAGGCCAGTACTGCCAGGGATGGGGCAATGAGGTATGGTACTTCTGGTTTGTTATGAACAATTTAACTATAAAGAAAAACTATGCTCTTTAATGTATGATAATGTAAAACATAAATGAATAAAATATTCTTAATAATAAAGAACTATGCACTGATTTTATGCTGGGATTGCATATATCATTAAAGTTCCCATTTCAGTCATGTTAATTTCTTCTTATTTCTCATTAAATCAATCAGATGAGTGAATTAAGTTTAGAAATTAATGGGATTAATAATTTTCTCAGAAGGATATTAAAGCTGACCAAGTGAGATAAAATGAATTCTGTGGCATTTGTGTGTTAAACTATATCTGTAAGTTTGTATCTGTAGGTTCCCACTGGTCCATGTCAAGAAGGTTTCTGGTGTGAAGGAGGGGCTGCCTCACGGGTGCCTAACATCACCAATGATTACCCTAACAATGGCCCATGCCCTGTTGGACACTACTGCCCTGAGGGAACACCCACCCCAATTCAGTGCCCTGCTGGAACACTGCGCAATGTCACAGGTAAAAACCTTATTCATTCATTTAATTATGTTAATTTCCCTGTCAAATTATTTTATTCCAATAATTTTTAGACATTTTATTTGATACTTTATAGATAATAATATAAATTTAAGATCATAATAAAGCTGAATTTTGGCAATTTAATACTCGAAAGTTTAAGTATTTAATGTTTTGGCATTGTAAATTTGTATTCCAGGTGGCGCTGCATTGGAGGACTGTCTACCTTGTACTGGGGGCTCTTACTGTGAAACATCAGGCCTGAGCCAACCTACAGGTCTCTGCCAGAGGGGCTACTACTGTCCCTCTAACCATTCTACCACTACTAAGACTCCCACAGAGCTACCTTGCACCCCAGGTCATTACTGCCCTGAGGGGTCTTCAGAGCCGCTGGGTTGCCCTGGGGGTGAGAGCCAGCCTAACCAGGGACAGTGGGAATGTATAAAGTGTCCTGCTGGGTACTATTGTGTTGATTCTCTGACACCTGACCCCAAGGATTGCCCGCCTTACAAATACTGTCCTGAAGGTAAGTAGGGGAGAGACTTACATATTTTGAAATACATATGGGATGGACATTTTTATAGCATAAATGTTATGAGATTCAGGGGGCACAGACTTGCATTAACCAATATCACAGCTAATTAGCTTTTTTCAAACTTTTGACCATTTAGTACCTACATTACATTCAGTACATAGTTGTACACATTGTTACAGGTACGAAGGACCCATTGCTGTGCCCTAATGGTACCTATACACTGAATGATACTACAAACCTGCAGGGACCAGATGAGTGCCTGCCTTGTCCTGCAGGAGTTTACTGCAGGGGAGGAGAGATCCAGGGACCATGTGCTGCTGGCTATTGGTGTGCTGCAGGTTCAGAGGATTATACCCCTAGTGGTGCTCCACCCCCTAACCCCTGTCCTTCAAACCAAGTACGTAATCAACAAATTCCGAAGAGAGCTCAGTATACTATAATATTGTATTTTTCTCTTACATATCATTTGGTTTCATATTCATTAGTGTATTTTCTCAGTGGCACATTATTCCGTAAACAGATAAAAATGTAAATTCCATTTTATGTCTAAATGTAAAGGAGACCCTCTTTTTATGATTAACATCAGTAGTTGCCTTAATGATCTGGGTAAAATATCACATGTTATTTTTCAAGGTATGCGCAGGACCCTGTCCCCCAGGATTCTGGTGTTACATCAACACAGTCACCCCCACACCCTGCCCAGAGCACACACTCAGGGACACAATGGGAGGGAACCAGCTATCAGATTGTGGACCTTGTCCAGCTGGCTCCTGGTGTCATGAAGGTAAAATAGGTTTAATCATCAAATATGACGTAAAATAGAAAAAATATCAGCTGTTTTAAAAACCGAAATGGATATTTTTAAGTTCTTTGTATTGACATGACAAATTGCAGTAGCATGTGACTGAAAATATTGTTTATTTGTCAGTAACAAAATCAAAAAAGAATCAAATTCAATACATTAGATTCAAAACAAGTTGAAAAAAATTATTGTTCAGTTCAGTCTTATTTAACTCCCTTAACCTTGTACATGCCCCCCACTGAGGCGTCAAATTCAAGTGAGTCATTCTCTATTCTAGGAGACCCAGTCCCCCAGCCATGTCCCCCAGGCCACTACTGTCTGACCAGTGTAGGCCCCACCGAGTGCCCTAGACTTACATATAGAGATACTGAGGGTGCAGCTAACATCTCAGAGTGCCATGCTTGTCCTGCTGGATTCTGGTGCAACCAGACTGGTATGTAACTATACAAAATCACTTGGTTGACAATTACTACCTGTAACTCATTTGGTCAACTACTTTATTCTACATAACATGTAAAGAGGGACAAAAGATGCAAACAAGCATAATTTTTCACAAGGAATGCTATGAAATTTGATTTAAAATTCATCAAATATTTAATTACATTTTTGAAGAGGAGAAACATGGATCATTGTTAAATGTAATATTTTAAGTTTTGGAACAACATTTAAGTATTGACTTGGTCTTTTGTAACACAAATTTTATATTATCTCTCTGTTGTTTCAGGTATGACGAACTACACAAACCATCTGTGCCCAGTAGGCATGTATTGTGATGAGGGTCAAGAGCCATCATTGTGCCCTGCAGGCAGGATGAGACCAAACCAGGGGGCTGGATCATGGGTAGAATGTGAACCCTGTAGGGATGGTTTCTATTGTCCAAATGACACAATCAACACTCAGGGTATCCCCTGTCCAGCTACGTTCATGTGCCCTCATTATTACGATGTGAACAGCATTGAATGGGGTGCATCAGCCCCGATAGAATGCCCAGGAGGTTACTTTTGCCCAAACAAAACTGGAGACCCTCTATTATGCCCCGGAGGCTACTATTGCCCTAACGCAACTGATGTACCATATTTGTGTAATTTCTCCTATTATTGTCCAAATGGGACAGAGACGCCACAGAAGTGTCCATTAGGTAATCGTGCCCTTGATCATCCTGGACTTAGGTGGATGTACCAAGAATCATGTGAGCTCTGCCCTGGAGGAACATACGGAAATCACTCTGAGAGACTGGTGTGTAATCAGTGCCCAGGAGGCTATTACTGTCCAGAGGGGACTGGAAATGGAGATTCATACACGTGTCCTAATGGCTCCTATTGTCCGCCTGGGTCATCACAACCCTCGCCCTGTCCATTGGGTTACTATGGCAACAGAGAGCGTGCAGAAGTATTCACAGACTGCGCTGAATGTCCTGAAAATACATTTAACAATCTATTGGGCCAGGTGGCTTGTAGACCATGTGGTAGTTCCTCAACATCAATCCCTGGCCAAGCCAAGTGTACATGCACTGGCAATTATCGAACTTTCCAAACATCTGATGGTGTATGTCAATGTATGTCGGGTTATATCTACTATGATGAGACAGACACCTCTATAGCTGAGGGCAATGGTGACCAGGTAAGGTTATAAAAACCGTTATTTCAATTGAAGGTCAGCAGAGGATTTACTTGTATTATACACTTGAAAGAATTGTCAGCCCCCTTTGTGATTTTGAAATAAATTAACTAACAAATTATGTTCTTTTGTAGGACTGTCAGCCAATCGTTGACACACGTTGCAGCTACCATCAGGCCAGAGATGTCGCCACAAGAGAGTGCATCTATCCAGAACAGAGAGACTGTTTCGCTAAATGTGGAGATAATGGAGGTGTGTTTGCAACTGAGACTGGAAGGTATGTATGTTTTGGAGAATTATTTTCCAAACTACAAACACTTAAAAAAGTTTGATGAAAGTAAAAAAAAGCATAAAATCTTGGCTTTGTGTAAAAAAGAAAACAATATTGTTGTCTCACTTTTTTTTGTCTGTTTTTCCAAATAAACTTCTTCATGGATTCCATCCATCCTTCTGTGAGTCAGCAATTTTGAGAAAAACAGAAACTGCATATTATCTGAACTAATACTCTATTTAATGGGGTCCATTCTTTTAATTAACACAATTGACTCCTTCTTTTGAAAAAATCAGCTCTTACCATCAGAATTTCACATTTTTCACAATATACCAGCTCACCATGTGGATGTGGCCCCACTGAATGTCGCCATTTAAGTATATTAAATGTATTTGTTATTTCCAGTTGTGTATGCAACACATATGTGGACCCTGATGCTCTATGTGACTCTAACTGCATCCAGCAGGCACCAAATATCTACTTTAAGCTGAACTCTGATGGATCCAAGTCTACCATTGTAGTAGATCCTGTTAGTGGAAATGTCACTGAAACAGTGAGTGCCATTTAGTTTTTTGTGTCACCACCAAAAGCACTGACTTATTGTTGAACTGTAATCTCAAACTTTTTGTGGATAGTGTTTGGCAATTTGGTGTCTGTAACAAGTGGTAGGTGGTGACATTTCGCATGTTAATGCCTTCTTTTGTTTGATCACTTTGCTGATCTTTTACTTAAATTATATCAAAACAGTAGAACACCTTTGTATGTGAAAACCTTACTGATGCAAATATCTTTAAGTGTGAACACCTTTTTCAGTTTAAAGTTTCAGATATTCTTTTATATTCTGTATTTATTTATTTGTAGTTGTACCTCTTAACCTGAATCAATTTAATGACATATAAAAAACTGGTCTGTACATCATCCCATTGGATGGATATTATTTCTATATTTTAAGGGATTTGTGAAATTTTTATTGTTTAGTTTAAAATGTACATAATTTTGTTATTTCAAAGAAATGTGCTGGTGTTTATGGGCCATTAGAGCATGCTGAAGGTGCTAAAACCATTCATGTGGTAAGCCATTGGGAGGATAGGCTCACCAGCTCTATTTACACAGAACCCCTGCAGCCAGAGACTCTTTGTAGTAAGTACAGGTTGAACTATTTGGCATCAGGGGCTGTCTGTAATAACAACATGTATTTTTTATGCTGAGTCAATTTTGTTCAGGGAAGAGGCTAGGGCTAAAAAGTAAAAAGCATAAATGATTGTATTAAAGGAAACAATGAACCAATTAGAATGAATTGTGAAAATAATTAAATGTTATATATAACTTGAAAATTACCAAACCTTTACATTTTACTTGCAATATACATAATTTAATGTACATATTGTTGAATTTTTTATTAATTCAAATGCTTTGCTTTTACTATAGGTGGTAAGTCAGTGTGAAATGCTACACTATTATGATAATGTTTTTTACTCTCCTTTGTCACTCTTTACCTCACATGTACATCTTCAGTATGTATGTTCCTCATGAATGTAACCAAAATAACACAATGGATTGGCAGTAGATCAGCTTTCAAAGACTCTTCCAAAAGGGTGACTTGGGGACAGTTTAGACTTTCATTCTATTCTGCCAATGTCAACCATAGGGCCTTAACTGTTAACCATTGACTACTGTCAACCATTGGGTCTGCTGTCAATAATTGGGTCTTCTGTCAGTTGTGGGGCTACTGTCAACTATTGAGCAATATATTATCATATTATTAGCTTTAGATCTGCTGTCAACCATTAGGTTTTTATTTAACATGGAGCAAATGGGAGGGAATACTGAATATTGCTCAAATGTTTCACTGTCCTGTCACATGTTTCTATTCTTCTCTTGCACTATCTTCTATACTATGGTACTATAATAGCTATTCTTCTTTGGTTTAACAAACATTAAGACATTCAATCCCCATTTGTATAAGCTAATAATATAAGCCAGGTTGATGTACTATAGACCCTGATATACTTCTGTCTTCTCTTAGATCTGTAATGTTAAAGGAATTAAAGGGATAAAGATGACAGAAGCAATGTATTCAAAAACTATACCAATGTGTTCCTTTCCTTGTGATATTAATATTTTTTGAAAAAGGAATTGAGATATGTGATCAAGAATTAAGTACAAGTATTGAAGTTTCAAGATCCAGATACATGTATATCCCCATTTTTCAGTTTTAGCAAATAACCTTGAAAACAAAGGATAGTCTGTCATCTGTATCCCTTCTAATGCTCTTTAATTTATATTTAAATCTTAATGTCTGTTACCTCCCTTCTATGACCTGTATTTATCTTGTTGATTTCTATTGGAGTTCACTTCTAACTAATTAATTCATGTAGTGAGCAATATTATTCCTTTGATTTTAATTTTTTTGCTAAAGTTTTGTAAACCATAGAATTTTGCTTTGGCTATATGTACAAATGAAAATGCTTCTAGTAAAATATTTTTTAATTTTGAAACTGTATTTGTTATTCATTGGCACTATTAAATATTTCTTTTTTCATTTGTTTCATTGCTGCCTATTTGTTTCGGCAGATTTTAGAATTACCTGAATAACAACACAAATCTACATGTACTGAAGTCAAACCAAAGCACGTGCCAAAAAACAAACACAGAACGTAAAGCTTTGCTTAAATGAGTTCTTGCTTTTAGTATACTTCATTTAGAATATTGAAGTATTCAAAGATACTTTCATTATCTGTAATGTTTAACAAATAAATTGTGATTTTCTAGAACCTCTGAATGAGATGGTTACTGGTGTGTTTGTCAATGGTAGTGTTGCCACAAGACGTCGTCTGCTACAAGCAGCTGTAACGAATCCAGTTGCCACTGATGGTGTCCCAGAAATCCCCAATCCTCTCATCTGTGTACAACTAGATGAGATGGTCATGTTCCGTATATGGGTGAACACAAGCGATCGCGCCTACAGCCATTATCCAGTTTATGTTAAGGATCACTTGTACAATACTAATGCAGATTTTGATTTCGGACCATTCACCCGATTGGCTTACTTCATCACGCAGACCAATGTCAGTTACTCCGCATTTGCGCATCTGTTTGAGGAGGCAGGAAATTATGTTTTCAAAGACTCCATGGTGCCTGATAGGTATGGAAAATTATCTCATCAATTTTTTTTTGTTGAACAAACAGTGCTATCTCAATATATACTTATACTAAAAGTAATGCAATGAGGCATTCTTATAATCTTTTTCCAACATAGAAATATTGAAGCATCGTTTTCCTTAAAAAATAGCCTCAGATGTAAGATATCATTTAAATTATTTTAAATGAGTTCCATCCATTTTCATGTTAAATACACCATAAAGGATGATAACTGCTCGTTGATTTTCTTGGATTTCATGCCTTTTTATTGCAACATAGTTTTATAAATGTTCTATTATTCCAGGGAGGTGATCATTACTGTCAAAGGAGTTGGGAACAGTTGTCCAACAGGAGTCTCCAGAGTTCAGTCCTCATCTCCAACAAACCTTGCCACATTAGGTATTGCTAAGGGCACGGCTAAGAATGAAGAGCCTGATTGGGGCCTTATCATAGGTAAGAAGTTCATCAATAGACAAATAGAAATAAAATGTTTCTCTACTATGTATCGTATGCAGGATGTAGGAAGGTAGTGCACATGCTTTTGATACATTGATGAAATGTATTTGAATTATTTGCCAACAACTACAGTACATACATTTGTTGAAATTATGTTTCTGGAAACAAAATAGAATTTACATGTACATGTACTTTATTATACTGAATGATTTATGTAAAAGTATAATAATATTAGAAACAAATAATAAAAAAAATTTAAATCACCATAATACTTTTTTAGGACTTTTGGCATTCTTGGCTGCCTGTATTCTAATGCTGGTGGTAGCAGTGATTGTTTGGCGTCCTCGTGATGCAGGAATATATCCCATGAAGCATTGGAAACCTAAGTATCGCAGTCTGGGAGCACCTCCGCCTGTTCCCCATTACATGCTGTATGACGTCGACCACTGGCCAGGCCATGAGTAAGTTTCACCAATATGAGTTGAAATGACTTCATCTGTCAAAACTACACTATAAATGATGTTTAGATCTCTCATGAATTTCACATTATGTCTTTAACATGGAAATATCCCCTAAAGTAGAGAGAATTACATCTACTTTTTCTGGAGTCTGGCTTGTGCATTGGTACCTAGCTATTGCATTTACAGTTAAACATACCAGTAACCTCTTATGTTAGCACTTGGAAAATATCATCCAATGTTCACTTAGACACCAACTGCATTGAAACAGTTGCATGGAAAATGAAATAACTTTATGATATTCTTCAGGGATCCAAACCACATGCATGGACCAGAGGCTCGTATAGCAGGAGATGGCGCGGAGGCTGGCCTCCTTGCTGCTCCAGGGTCAGGCATGATATGGAAAGATAATGGAGAACTAGAAAACTTTAATGTACGTGTCTTATATGACAAACTCGAGGACCAGAACCTGTATATGGCTGCTCAGTTGGCACGACAACAAGATGATCTTCGGGGATTCTATGAGCGCATTAGCAACCAAAATGAAGACCTGAAACGCATGTTGAACAACCTTGACCTACATAAGCTGGAGGAGGCAGAGAGACAGAGGCAACAAGAGGGAGGTGTAGAGAGGGAGAACATCCAGACAGCATCTGCACAGGGACCCACCATTGTGAATGCTAATGTCACTATGGGAGGGCCTGGCACTGGTGAACAAAAGGAATACAAATTCATGTCAGGTAAAGATATTGTAACTTATTGAGCAACTTCTGCAAAACTTTATTAAAAGAATTCTTAAGCTCATTGGTTCAAGTTTTTAAAATATTTTAAATGAAGTTCCATAATTTAAATGTATAACCATTTCATTCTTGTCAGGTATGAATGACCGTGAGAAAGAACTGATGTTAGCCCTACAGATGATGCTAGATAAACTTGCATCTGGCAATATACCAATCACAGCCGAAATGATTGAGCATGCGCGACAGACAGGTGGCGCTACCAGTACCAGCTCTGGCGGCCCACAAAGGGTTAAGGGTCAGAGTGAGTTGCTACGAAAACATAACGCAGAGAAGCTGAAACTGGAACGTGAGCTAGAGGATGAGGAGTCAAGAGCACTTGATTCTCTCTTAATTGAACACGACACTAAGAGACAGGAAGAGCTGGAGGAACTTGGACGTAAACTGGCGTTTGAACTTCAAGGTTTGTATTGATTTCTTGCACACGTCTGAACTCTGATTGAGGTCAGAGAATTGATTTTTTTTAAATAATTGATTCATAAAATGCGTTTTGCCTGTTTGATGTCTACACATTTGTCTAACACTGGATGTAGATTGTGAAATATAGGTGATATGCTTTACTTACCTGAATTGTGACTATAAGTCATGAATAAAGAATAAATAAAAAGTTTCAGTTGTAATCGATTCACAATGAGAGCTGATATTGAAAATGAATTATTGTTAATTTAGTCCTCCTATTGTTACACCCTCCCTTACTGTAAAGTATTCTACATTTACAGGTGTGAGTGATGCTGATGCGGCAGATATCATCCAAGCTCATGAAGAGGAAGTAGAACGTTTGTTGAAGACTCTAGATGGCCAGAGAGATCTCCAAGCTGAAGCCCTACGTCAGAAACTTGCTGCCAGGCGAAGACAGAAAGAATCTAAACTGCATGAGAAACACATATCTGAGGTATGATAGCATAGCAAGTACAATTTTAATTTGCAAATCTGATTGAATTCTTACCATGTAAGCAAATGTCTACATGCAGTTGTTCCAAATTTCGCAAAGTTGGAGATTATTAACGAAATTATCTTATGATATCAAAGCTGGCTTGAAATATTTTCTAATTTTATAATATATATACAGTAAAATGCAAATATGTATGAAATGATAGAAAATAGATAGTGTAGATATTAATAAATAAAGAAATGATTTATTCCAGACAAACCAAGCTGGTCTTCCACCCCCAACCCAAGCAATAGATGTCACTGATGACCGTCTAAGACGTGAGGAGCTCAAACTCCACACACTCCACACAGAAGAAAATACAGGACTCTCAAATGCTGAAGCTGAGGTTAATGATCAATATGCAGAGGAAAAACACAAACGTATGACAGACACACTAAAAGAACACATTGTAAGTACATGTAGTAAAGCATTGTGAATCTTGATCATTTATGAGAACACATTGTAAGTAGTAAAGCATTGTGAATCTTGATCATTTATGAGAACACATTGTAAGTAGTAAAGCATTGTGAATCTTGATCATTTATGAGAACACATTGTAAGTAGTAAAGCATTGTAAATCTTGATCATTTATGAGAACACATTGTAAGTAGTAAAGCATTGTAAATCTTGATCATTTATGAGAACACATTGTAAGTAGTAAAGCATTGTGAATCTTGATCATTTATGAGAACACATTGTAAGTAGTAAAGCATTGTGAATCTTGATCATTTATGAGAACACATTGTAAGTAGTAAAGCATTGTAAATCTTGATCATTTATGAGAACACATTGTAAGTAGTAAAGCATTGTAAATCTTGATCATTTATGAGAACACATTGTAAGTAGTAAAGCATTGTAAATCTTGATCATTTATGAGAACACATTGTAAGTAGTAAAGCATTGTGAATCTTGATCATTTATGTTATGAATCAACCATAATTTCCAAAGTGCCTCAGTGGAAATTCCAAAATGCAAAGGAGATTAATTTTTATTTTTAATTCACCATCCAGGAGGCTCTTGTCCAAGATGGCATCCTCTCGGAAGAAGAGAAGAATGAACTGATCAGACTTGAGATGGAGAGAGCTGCCAAGTTACGGAACCAGATGACCAAGAGACGTGAACAGCAGCTGGCCAAAGTGAGGCAAAGGATGCAGAATCGTAGGTCACGACGTAATGATGAAATGAAACATGAACATGAGAAAGCCAAGCGTGAGGTAAGAGAACAGTGTTGTGCTGATATGTACTTATATTGCACTGAAAAAGTACTAAATGTAATTTGAGCTTTTGATGATGGATTAGCAGATATTATCTGAATTTTTAATTCTTTGAAAATTAATCTCACCGTTAAAGACAGACAATACAATCTCCTTTATGTCACTATAGTCACCTCAAACTCAGTATTTTGTAAAAGCTAAAAGATCAAATACTATCTATGATTATGTTCAATGTGATTTCATCAACTTTCAATGACATGCTGTTATAGCTGTCCACTAAGCTGATCCAAGAAGGCAAACATGAGGAACTTGAACAACGCCTGGCAGAGATGGACAGACTCCACCAGGCTGAACGTGAGGCCCTAAATGCTGAGATTGATGAAGAAGAACAAGAGGAGATCAAACACATTGTACAGAGCAATAACAAGGAACACACTGATGCTCTAAAAGAGACTCATAAACAGCTCCTGGCTGAGGTGGGTTAAATATATATTTGCAATAGTGACTTCCTGATATTCTGTGTGAGAACATGATCAGAAACATCCTACATTGTATTTGTCAGTCACTGGTTAGTCCTCTGATTGGTTAATCAATTGTCAGAATCCTCTGATAGGTCAGTCACTGGTTGATTAGCATGCCTAACAGAGTCTAGAATGTAAGCTATTATTGTGATCTTGCTTACAATTCTCTAAAAGTTGAGATGGCCTGATTTTATTCTTAACCATTGACATCAGGGGATGATATTCTGAAATGGAATTCACGATGATGAAAAATATTTTTAATAGTATCAGAATTCATGGACTTGCCTGTTTGATTTACAATTATTTATTTACTTACAGCTTCCAAATCAACACTCAGGAGTTGATGCTGTCCTACAACAAAAGCTCCTGGAGATGTACCGCAAGGATGTGGACAACTTGAACTCAGAGTTGGAGAGCCAGAAAGATCGCCAACTGAATGATATGAAAGCAAAATTGGCTGCAAGGAAGGCAAGGAAACTGAAAGAGATTCAGAGACTGCAAGAGGAAGAAGCTGCAAAGAGGTACGAGGGGTGATCAATAAGTGCTAATAAATTAGTGAGATTTTGAAATGCCTGTAACTTTTTCCCATTTGTGATTTGAACCATCAGTGTAACTTTGGATGAGCTTTAAAATAATATATGACACATACTATGGAGACATTGGTATATGTCTGCCTAGGGGCATACTTTCTGGATACTCTGTATACATAGGTGATTATGTTGTTATAATGGAAATGATGATGATTGTGTTAATTATTATAGGTTTGTCAGTGAGCAAGAGAAGCAGATGAAGCAAGTCGTAGCAGCCAAGGCAAGTGAAGATGATATGTTAAGGCTACCAGAAGTCCACATTGGTGAATCTATAGAGGAACAGGCACTCAGAAAGGAACAGGTAAGAATGATGTAATCTGTTTTAATTATATGCAATCCAAGTTCCAAATAGTTTTATGACATTCTTAATTTTCTTATACCACGAGGGTAAGAGATACAGCCTATTCACTTTGACTTGACTTTCTCAAGACTTCATGCTACTTTCATTTCTTTGTGTTAGAACTATTACAACCATGAATATGAGAGCCTCAACTCACATAGTTCATACTAGACTTCAGGAAAAAAGTACTTTTCAGATAATAGTCAGTGAGTGTTTGTATGGTGAACCCAAAGTACATCAACATCTGATACATTATAGAAGGCGCATTTCTGAATTCACAAATACTCTTATATGAAACATTGTGAAAATACATGTATCAACTTGAAATGTTTCTCATGTTTATTTACAGGAGAGAGCCAGAGAGGAAATGCGAGAAAGACATGAGCATGAACGTGAGGACCTGGGTACGAAACTTGAGCAATCAGCCAGACAGGGTGAACAAGACACTTTGAGGAATCTGGAGAATGAAAAGGAGAAAATACTGAGAGAAAAGAAAAATAAGCAAGCTGCAGAGCTAGCAGCCAGGACTGATCTATCAGAGGAAGAAATGGCAGCTGTGAGTTGAAATTCAGATATACGTTACTTTGGTTTAGAATAAATGTACACACCTCTCATTATGGACACTTTGAGTCAGACCGAGTTGTGTTATTTACTGGCTTGTAATGCCTTGCCCTGTTGTATATTCTATGTAGTTCCAACAGTATCTTCCAAGCTTGTGAAAAATGAAAATTGAAATTGAGACTTATTACATTTCAGCTGATTGCCCAACATGAACATGACCTTGAAGAACTTGCTGACAAGCTAGACTCGGAGAAACGTCGTCAACAGGCAGCGCTCCGTGACAGACTTGCCGATCGTAAAGCAAGAAAAATGGCAGAACTGCGCCGTAAACAAGAAGGTCAGCTGACCAAGGAAATGATTGAACAGAAGAAGGAACTGGATGAAGTGAAGACTGAGAAATCTAAGGAGGCAGAACAGAAGGCTATGGTTGAGGGTGTACAAGAGAATGGTATAGAAGACAGTGATAAGGTTGTCAAAGCCTGTCTTGCTGCTAGACATGCAAGGGTGAGTAAAACACTAGCAAAACATAATATACACAATAGTAGAAGATAAATACTATAACATAAAATTAATCTTCTTCTTTTATGTACATATCATTGAAATTGAGTCGAACTTGCTGAGCTTTTGTATTTCATCTTAAAAACTCAAGATAGCCATTAATAGTATGAATCACATAATTTCATGAAACTATGAACCATCCATACAGAGTTTGCAAAGAATTTAATAATTTCTCTTTTGTTCTCCTGTATGTGCCAAATGTGCTAAATCCATTATCTTACCTTGTAGGAATTGTCTGACCTGGACACCCAGTTTGCTGGTGAGAAGAAGCTGATGGTTGATGATGCTTTGGGCAAGCTAGAGGAACAGCAGGAGAGAGTACGTGAAGACATGCAGAACAGACACGAGAGAGAGCTTGCTGACCTCATGGTAAGTGCGAAAATTTGTGTTAAATAGTAGAATAAACCCTATTGTTCATTAAAACACTCAATCTTCCAACCATTAAAGAGGACTTTTGGCCTTTTTATATTTTGTTATTTTAAGCGATCCAATGTCCCTCCACTTCTATCAAAAAAGTTAGTCCTAATATACACTTTAAAATAATCTCTCTTAAGCCACTGATGTCATGTATTAGAAAGTAATATATGAGTTAATAAAACAATAAGTTGGACCTATATGAAAAAAAATCATTTCAGCAAGAAGACCTGAGCCCCGATGAGCTCCAACAGAAACGTGCTGAGCTACTGAACAGACAACAACTGGAGATGTCCCAACTAGACAAGAAGCATGCCAATGAACAGAAGGAGATTAAGAAGGGAGCCCTAGCTGAGTGGGAGGTCAGATATGCCAGAGCCAAGCTTGACATGAAGGAAAGACACTACAAGGTAACATATTGGGTGTTCAGTATGTAATCCTGTGGTTTTAAGAAATTTCAATTTTAATTTTTAAAGTTAATATTTGCATGCAATATATTTTAATTAATCCAGAGTATAATCTGAAAGGAATTGACATTTACAAGGTAAAATAGAAAATTGAAAAACAATTCAATCAAAAAAGTCCAAGATGTTTAGTTTGATACATGCACTGATATATTTTAGGAATTTGCTGATGCTCTGAGGGAGTTTGACCCTAACCATGCTAGTGCCAAGCAAGCAGATATGGCCATTGAGGAATTAGAAGAGGTCAAGAAGAAGCTGGATGCTCAGGCAAAAGAACAACAGGAGAAACTCAAGAAAGAACGAGAAGGTAAGCATATATTAAAGAACTTTAAATCTAGACATAGTGTTTCTTTAACATACATGTTTATCTCTCCTTTTAACCCAAATGTGGGATGTAAAGATAACCTGAGTATAAACCTAGGTATATCTTTCCTTTTACACACAGCTGTCCTTTCACCCAAGTGAATTTATCTTGTAGCGTTTGAAGCAGAAGAGAAGAAGCGTTTGGCCAATGAACTAATGGGTTTTGAGAAGCAGTTAGAGGCTGAAACTGAGAGAGAGAAGGAGCGCCACCAACGTAATATAGAGGCACTTAATAAACGCAAGGAGGAAATGATGGCAGAGAAGAAACAAAAGACAAAGGTCTGATTTTAAACATTTTTTATTTACTCATTAGCTAAATACTTTTAAAACACTTGTACAAGAAAAGGAAGATTCCAGTGAAGTAATTGTAAAGGTTTTTGTCTTCTCAAAATCTGTATGTTTATTTCATATAATTTTATTTTAGATTTTGAAGTCTCACATTAAAACATTTCATAAATTTTCACTTTATTTGTTTTAGTCTGTCACATTTTGATAAAATCAAAATGTTTAAAAAGATTTTATATTTCGCATTTAAAATTCATTATACAGGAAGAGATGGAGCGTCTGCAATCTCAGGGTGCAAGTCAGGAGGAGCAAGACCGTCTCCTTGAGGAACATCAGCGTGACATGCAGAACCTCATGAACAAGATGGATGCTGACAAGCTTCGAGCTCAGAGTAACTTACAAGAAAAGCTGAAGAAACGTCGCGAGGAGAAGTTTAAGGCTAAACAAGCTAAACTTGTGAACCAGAGTGCTGAGAATAAGAAGGAGTTTGAAGAGAAACAGAAGTCTGAAGCTGACAGACTGAAGGCAGATGAGGTAAGCCATCCTTGCAAATCCTGGATATTGTCTGATTTGGGCATGTAAATTTGCTCATTTGTATGTTTCTTAGGGTAATAGAATACATGTATATAGAAGAGAACTATGGGAAATTCAGAAGTGAATAGAGCAAACCATCACTTTTTAGTTGGAGTGAGAGATATTCTTAATTATCCTATCAATTGAATTTTAGGGAATATGGCCACTTTTGTGTGTGTCACTACCATGTCTGCATTTCTGCAGTGGCCTATATATATCCATTCTCTTTTGCAATTCAGAAAAGTTAAATCATAGAATATTCACATGTACAAAATAACATTTATCTTGAATACTATCTAATAAATGATCATGATTGCAATTCAACAGGCCTTAACTCTGAAGGAAAGCGTCAATATTGACAAGATGTTAACAAAAGATGGCGATGATATCAGTTTAAGTGGTGATGTCATGACCAATTTACCCGCAGCAGGAACTTCCCAGGGAGCACTTCCTGCCAGTTTCACAATGGCCGCCCCAATGAATGACAGCGAGCTTACAGCACTGTTGATGCAGAGCCCTCTATATCAGAAACTTGAACAGATTAAAAAAGCTGCAAGTGGAGGTGGTGTAAGATCTGGCCACAAGATGGCACCAGGTAAGAGCATTCTCAGTTTTGAAAAATCTGAATGTTAATAAAATGAAATCAATACATATGAATAACTCTCCGAAATGAGCATATTGAAATATATGTATGGACATTTTTGTCACATTTTTGTGTGTCTAAATTTTGTGTCATTTTCAAAAACCTGTAATATGAACTTGTCTCAATGTAGCATTAAAACAGCAGTGCTCATGCTCTTACAACATGTCACCTATGTTTTTGTGGTACAACATGGTTTACATTTTTCCAGGGGAAGGCTACATTGACGAGAAAGATGCAGCATGGTCCGGTGACAGCGAACTCAACCCTGTCGATCTCAACAAGCTGTCAGCTCGGTCATTCGTTGTTTACAAGTTTGGTTGTTTCATCACTGATCTTGTTGCCCAACATTGCCAACATCTCCCCGTGACTTTGCTCCTTGCCGATAAAATACCAGCCAATAAGAATCTGGCCCATAATGCCTACAGGAATTCATTCCATTATGACGCTAATAACAGGATTGTGTATATAAGGTCTGCTCGGCTTGATAATGTGGGAGAATTCACTCTAATCCTTGTACATGCCTTGGCACACATAAAAGCAGGTTTGTCTACATTTCTAGTCAAATACTATTAACTTCTAAAAATGCATACTAGTAGATTACCAAGTTTACAGTTTGAATTGAAACATGTGATGTATTTTTCCTGTTTCTTTCTTTTCATTTTTGCATGAACAGTTCCAAAGGACGATTCTCGGTTTGGAGAACGAAGTTCATCAAACTAAATGAGCATTATCCCTGCGTCGGACAAATTTGATTTTTTTTACCTAATATAGATTTGAATGTCTTCTTTTGAATAGTCATAATTTAATTTGGGTAATATTTCCAGATTTTTCGCAAAAAATATATTAGCGCAGTACACTGATGAACTTCTTTCCCAAAATCGAGACTTGTATTTAATTGAATCGGTCTAATTGAGCGTTATCCCTGCTTCAGACCAATTTGTTATTTTCACAACTTGTAGATTTAAATGTCCTCTTTTGAATATTCATAGTTTAATTTGGGTAATATTTCTATATTTTCAATTAAAAAAATTATTAGCCCCGGAGACTGTTCTCCAAACCGAGAATCGTCCTTTTAGTACTGATTGTTACAAGATAAATGTTATTATTTGTATTGTAAAACTCTTTTTTTAATTAAAAAAAAAAATTAATTATAATTTCTGATATTTGTACAGGTGACTTGAGGGATGACAGCAACCCTGAGTTTGCTAGAGAGTTCTATAGAGCTCTATCAGTAGTATGTGACGATCTCTTCTTTGCCCGATATCGTCGTTCCTCACCCATCACTAAAACCCTTGCTGGAACTGAAGACAACGCAAGCCTTGAGAGAGCCTCGAACACTCTCCTTAATGCCTTATTTGGTGAATGTGATAACGAGACTGAGAAAAACAAAATGGTGGATGATCTGCTGGATGTGAAATTGCAAGATGGAACAAATAAAGATGGCGTTTGCTTCAATGCCGATAGGATGAAAGAAAGGTTGGATGTTTTGAATTTACAAAATATGTTTATCGATTTTTGGTATCTTACCATTCTGTGTATTGAAGTAGAAGTAAAGAAATAGCATTAGCAAATATTTCAGCCATACATGTACTTGCATGGTATACCTTCATTTTCATTATTTATTTCAGAATGACAAAATATACCAAATATGGGGTGAGCAGCAAATTACGGGAACAGCTTGGAGATGTAGAAAACAAGATGGCTGCAGCTAAAGCAAATGGCAGCCAACAGCATGTAGACTCCACACTTGATCAACATGGAGTGACTGCCCTTACAACGGGTGAGTACAATAGGTTCAATGGGTGATGATATAGAACATAAGAGACCTGGTCAAATATCAATGTTTTATTTTTTACCTCATGTACAGTGTCAGCATTAATGAATTTTTTCCGTTTATAGCAGTGCATAACATACATGTATCCCAGAAATGTTTTCTTAATTATATCACTATGTTTTGGTTCCAGGTAACTCTCTCCTGACACGCAAGCTGACTGACTCTACAATGGCGAATATGACTGGTACTGCCCTCTGGCAGACATTCCTGAATAAATCAGACACATCATCAACTAAACAGAGCAAGAAACACAAAGATAGAGACATACACAAACAGCATCTCAAGGTACAGTATGAAAGCACATTAAAGTAGAAATATTCTCCTAAATGTAATGGTTGTTTAGCATTGGGCTGGGTATGTTCTGAAAGTTTAACTTGGTGTTGGGGCGGTTTGTTTTGGGATGAACATTTTTTGAAATTTGGGTCAGGGTTTATTCAAGGTGAAGTTAACTGTTTTTGCCAATATACATGACATTGTACATATTTTGATTCAAACTTAAGAATGGTTCATCTTAAGGTGTTCGATTATGCCGCAAATATTCTCCCTCAAGTAACATTTTATTTTTTGGGTCCTCAATCTCATGTGACTACCTTGGCTATCCACATAGTGAAATTCTTCATTCCCGTGATAAATATCACATTATTGTGCCTTCGAATAAAACTTGTATAAAGCCTCTATTTTCCACTCTTCCAGAACCAAGTGGCTGATCTGATGGAACAAATAGATGCTTTGAACGCAGATTTCTCACAACAAGCCAAACAACATGGCGAACTGGAAGAATCTATACAATCACTAGAGCAGGAAGTTGCAGCACAGACTGATATTGTCAACAAATCCAAAACGGCAGACAAGAGACACACAGACAGTGTGATGCTTTTGAAAGACACTACTGTAAAACTAAGCAGCGCTCGACAACGCTTGGTTACAATACACACAAAGAAAGCTGCAACTTCGGAAAAATTGGAGAAAGTTCAGTTGGAACTGGATGCAAAGAAAAGTGAAGTTGGAGAAAATTAATACAAATGATAACAGCAGGAATAAACAGGACTTCTCCATTTAAGGACCAACTTAAGACAATGACTAAACTGTCAAAGGAGAAAAAAGAAAAAAAACAATTTATGAAGAATATTGATTTGATTATCAATACACATTTGTAACTCTTGATGAAATTTGATAATATGATAATAAGAGAAGTTTACATAATTAAACAAAAATATTATTTTCAGAAAGATATGAAATGATAAGATGTTATACAAGTAGATACCAATTTAGGTTATGTATGTACAGTATTTGTGAAACCAGCCTGTATGATGTTTCAATCCATTGTGATGTAGAGAAGCAAAACCAAAGAACTTGTATGCTTTAATATTGAATCTAATCCGTCCATAACATATTAATATGTTGATATTCATGAAATGGGAATGAATGATATATTATACTATATATTTGAAAAACCGTCCATGTATCTACATAATTCATATTTTATCCAAAGTATTTATTATGTTAATAAAAATATATAATAATTATTATCATATTATTATCTAATACAAGATATTTTTGTAACTTCCATTTTAAAGGCATTGTATTAATTTTATACAAATTGTAATTTTATACAAATGTAGTCTAGTGACGTTCTTGAAATGCATACATAATTTTTTGATAGATTTCCATTATATTGTATATATTTGCTATTGTGAATATGCAAACTTGCCTCAAAGTTAAGTTATTTTACAAATGTAGGTGTCCCTACTCCGTTACACTTTCATGAATTGTATGTAAACTTTTTCAAATCCGTCCAGTTTGTCATCTTCAATGTCAGTATTTTGTCACATGAATATACACATACATGTAGCTCTACTCTTAGAATAGTCATAATCGTTGAATGTATAATTTGTAACGCAGTTAGTTCTAATTATGTTGTATTTAGAACATGTGCATGTAAAGTGGTCCAAAACCCCCAATATTTTGAACCATTTTGTATGCATTTTAGTCTAATCCAACATTGAGAAAATATTTCGATGAAATAATATACTGTACATAATGAAGCAATAGATAATAGGTTTTAATAATGATAATGCGCTGGTAGCATACAAGTAGATGTACTTGAAATAATATAAATGTATTCCATACATGTTGTAAGTATTTTTAATTTTAGAAATGTGTTGTAACATGTTAATATTTAGTGATATAGTAGAACCTTTCAAGAGGAACACCTTTATAAGTGGAACACCTCTGTTAGTTGAACACTTCAAAGTTAAGTTACCTATAAATTCATGTAAAAAGAACATAAGTGTAACACTCTTTTAGTACCATAGGTGTTCTACTTACACAGGTTTCACACATATGATCCTATCAAGACAATGTTTTGTAAGATTATTAAATCTATAACTGCAATTATTAAATTCATCAGTTTTTTAGAATTGATGTATTCTGTTAATCATGTAGAATACTTTGTACAATGCGTAATATAGTATCATAATAAACTGAGTCTAATATACATTAAAACTTTTGATATTCTTATTCTTGAAGCCTATGCAGTTCTCGAGGTATATATACAGGGTGGTCCAAAAAAGTGAACCCCTGCAACGGGCCATATTTCCCTTATTACCTTCAGGAATCCTTTCATATTTACACATGTTGTAGAGGAAGGTCTTAAATTTTTGTTGGTACCATACATTTTTCTTAGTCTTGCAATTTGCAGAAATTATAAGCCCTAACCAAATGTTACTGAAAATGGATAAAATGTGATTTTCAACATCCACAATTCTTCAACACCCTTTCACTTACAATTTTTTGAGCTGCAGTCTGTATAAAGAACTAATACTTTTTGACTTTGTTTGGTTTTGAATCAAGCACATTATGGCGTAAAATCTAGCATCCTACCTCTGATAGTTGAAAAGATATTGTGATCCAAAGAATTGTTCTAAGTTTCCATAGATGAAAAATTTTCCCAGTGAAATCTCAACATACCCCTATATGATCTTGAAATGTCAATGTCTTCATTAATCATGGACCAATACTAATGAATTATGGCTCAAAATATTGAAAATTAGATTTTCTTTTGATTTTCTAAAGATATTTGATGAAGGGCTTCTCAGATTCCTGGTCACAGGGGGCAACTTTGCCCCCCTCTAACCATTTGTGTGGGTAACATGCCCCTTAACTGTTGAACAGTTAAAACTGCTTCAAAATGATATATGAACATGTTTTCTGCTCACATAGTATCCCATTTGTCATATGGTAGGGTTTTAAACTCTAACTGAAAGCTGTTTTAAGAATAACTTACGTGTTTTAACAATCATGTTTGTTTAAGTCTTGTAATTTCTTCAAAATTTAAGACTGAGAATAAATTATGGCATCAACAAAAATGTTAGACCTTTCTCTACAACATGTGATAATACGAGTTTCACTTTTTTGGACCACCCTGTATATGTATATCTTTATTGCCTTTTATGAAAAAGGAGATACATATTAAGTTCCAAACTTTCATCATTGCTACTAATTATACCTACCTGTTCCAACAATTCGATTTAATTCTTAAGAGAGGTTTATCTACTATGCTTGGACACCCAGGGTTAACTGAAATGCACTTACGTGGCATTCGCAAAGGTTTCACACATAGCTTGGCAAGGTGTATCTGATTCCAGCCAATCCCAACACAGTATTTTATATAACTCCAGAGCATTATGTAACCAATCAACGCACCCAAGGTCATTCCTTGAATGGTTGTCAAGGTGACAACTTGACTCTTCAGATTGAAATTGATGCTTTGCCTACTTGACCCTTGCAAAAGGTTGCATTGGAAATATGTTCTTTTAGTGATTTTTAAATTTAAGGCTAAATACATTGTGGATCTTTTAGGCGTTGTTTCCTAAAATCAACACTCATCTCGTGCAAATTCTAGAAAACAATACCTTCAAGCAATGGTCATTGCACTGAGTTCATAGTTTAAATCCTTAATTAACCTACTATTTTAGGGACAGCTAATTTAAATATGAATAGTAACACTATCCCATTCTTATTCTTTTTTCTTAGTCAATCCGCCAGCCGCCAGTTGAATTCGCGAATGTTTTTAATACCAATATGATAAGAAATGTACAATAAAATAGTACTATAGAACGAGTATAGTACAGATACTTACGATACTGCAAAGTCACCGTGACTTCACAAAGAGTCTAACTGCATGTAAAATAAACAATTTATTACCTTGTGTCAAAGTACAGGTACTTGGGAGTAAACACGAGCTAGGGTACCATTGGATTTTTGGAGGGCCTATGCTAAACCTGCATTACAACAAATTTCAGGTCTGAATACGGAACGGAAATAGATTTGAACACAACGTTAGACAAGAATAATCTGAAAGTTCTTATGTAACATGATCACTGTGATGATGGAGTCAGGGCAGTGATCCCAGCTTGAGAACAAACCAGAGGTGTAATGGTTACTCCCTCTGTATACGTACAGTATGTACCTATAAAACTTGAAAAAAAGAATTGAACATTGACATTGAACCTAATTGGATTAACATTCATGTTGGACATGGAGAATATCAAAAATAACTTATCAGCTGTTTTACATAAGCCGCTGGATATCAGATTGGTAAGTATCATACATTACCAGTACATGCGTTTCTTTTGGAAGGAGGGGGTGGTGTAACGGCGCTATTCCATAAATCAACATTAATTAAAGACGTTATACCTGTACATGGTTAAATATCTGTATTTATTTTGAACCCCTGTCTCTTTAGTCTACTTTAGTCATATTCTAAACTAAACCTTCATTGTTGTTGATTTATTTGTAATCCCAAATGAACAGACATAAACTATTGTCTTTCCATATAAGTCAATACTCTTACTAGGCATCTAAAACTGTTTGCCGATTCACTAAGCTTTTTAGGTTAGGAGGGGGGGGGGGGGTGTCAGTGAGTGGGGAATTAAATTATGAACTGTTGAAAACTATGTGTAACTGCATATTTTCGTTTTCATCTATTTGTTAGGAAAACAGACCAGTACGAAATCCAGCAAAGGGAGGTACTACATTTAAATCTTATTTTATCAATTTATACGCTTTTCAGATAAAATTCGAAAGAAACCGCAAAAACTTGGCAATGTTTGATATATCTTTTAAAATTGAGAAATCAGAATAAATACGATTTATCTAAGATTTAATGTGCAGAATTGTCACCCTCCCTCCCACCCGGCTCTTCTATCTTTGACAAGAAACCTAAAATGGGGAGAGCAAATCATTTGTAAAATTATGAAAACAATTTCTTGAAATTTACTCATACCGTTATTTTACATGAATATGTCAGAAATACAGGTATGTAGTTGAAATCATGTAACATTGCCAGCCCGATGTAACAATTTCTATTGTAGAGGTCCTCCTTTCGATGAGATCGGTGGGGATCTGCGGAACAGATATCGAAGTATGGCATTCGGGCAATGCTGGTGGGTTTGGTATACTGCCAACAGTCATGGGACATGAGGGCAGTGGAGTCATATGCGCAATTGGAGAAGGGGTCACTAATGTCAAAGTGGGTAGGTAATGTTTCGAGTGAGTTCATGCTGATACTCATCTTTAAAAGTGATTTTCATGTGCATGATGGCTAAGTGGAGTGTGCTATTAGGAAACACAAAGCATGGGCTTCTACATGCCCCAATATAGCTTCCAATTACAACATGCCCATATACAGCTTTCAATTACAACATGCCCCAATATAGCTTCCAATTTCAACATGCCCATATATAGCTTCCAATTACAACATGCCCCAATATAGCTTCCAATTACAACATGCCCATATATAGCTTTCAATTACAACATGCCCCAATATAGCAACAAGTACAACATGCCCATATACAGCTTTCAATTACAACATGCCCCAATATAGCTTCCAATTACAACATGCCCATATACAGCTTTCAATTACAACATGCCCCAATATAGCAACAAGTACAACATGCCCATATACAGCTTTCAATTACAACATGCCCCAATATAGCTTCCAATTACAACATGCCCCAATATAGCAACAAGTACAACATGCCCATATACAGCTTTCAATTACAACATGCCCCAATATAGCTTCCAGTTACAACTTGCCCATATACAGCTTTCAATTACAACATGCCCCAATATAGCTTCCAATTACAACATGCCCATATACAGCTTTCAATTACAACATGCCCCAATATAGCTTCCAATTACAACATGCCCATATACAGCTTTCAATTACAACATGCCCCAATATAGCTTCCAATTACAACATGCCCATATACAGCTTTCAATTACAACATGCCCCAATATAGCTTCCAGTTACAACATGCCCATATATAGCTTTCAATTACAACATGTCCGTATATAGGTTTCAATTACAACATGCCCGTATATAGGTTTCAGTTACAACATGCCCACATTTAGCTTTCAATAACAACATGCCCCAAAATAGCTTCCAATTACAACATGCCCGTATATAGGTTTCAATTACAACATGCTCCAATATATAGCTTCCAATTACAATATTTTACATTTCTGAAGGGGGTAAACATTTCTACTAATAGGTGATCGTGTGGCTCTAATGGGAGGCGATTCTTGCGAGAAATGTGACCTCTGTAAAGATGGAAAATTCAATTTATGCTCAGAATGGGGTTCAAACTTTCCATGGGATTTTCTGGCAAGATATGCAATTCACACAAGAGCAGAGCAATGCTTCAAGTACGTATTTTATGTTATAACCCATGAGTTTAACTGTAGGGCTAGCTTTAGCTGTCCTTGCTTAAAGGACATTGATAAACCTGACAAAAGGCTGATTGAAGTTTCATCTAAAGAGGCTACTGTACATTTTGATAATTAATATAGCCTACTTCAATAATGCATCAAAAAATTGCTAATTGAAACTACCCTTTTAAATCCAAATTAAGGCTAGCTGACCATGTGAGTTTTGATGAAGGGGCACTTGCTGAACCACTGGCAGTAGCAACTAGGACTTGTACAAGAGCTGGTATTACAGTTGGGGACAATGTACTCGTGTGTGGGGCAGGTAAGATTGAAATATTCTGGTCGTGGTACACTGAACACTACAAGCTATTGCAGTACACTACAGAGAACATTAGTAGGTTGAAATTGTATGAAACGATACTACAATGTAGTGTTCCTCTATTACAGGCTCTGTTGGTTTACTATGCATGATGGTGTCCAAAGCAATGGGGGCTGCTACAGTATGTGTCACAGGTACTTCATGATAAACCATGACATCTCATTTTTTCTCAGCCCTGAGACCCCGTTTCAGGTGAAACAGAAAGATGCTATATGAGTATCAGAATGCATTTATATGGTTTCTGCCCTGTTAAACATCATACTCTGACATGAACAGCAAAAGCAGATGCCATCAGTCGATTCAAGAGGTTGTTCCCTCAAGAACATTGTTACATTTTCCGTTTTGACATGCTGTGATTAAATAAAATTACAAAAGATGTCCCCCTTAGAAATAGATAGACCTTTGTTCAGTTGTTTTTTCTCTCTTAGATATCAACCAATCAAAACTTGATCTGGCCAAGAAGTTGGGTGCCAATTTTACTGTCTTAGCAACTGGTAGCAGCAGTGATGTAAAAAACAAAGTGACAGATGCCATTGGGTGTATGCCAGATAGATCGGTAGAATGTTCAGCTGCAGAGGCCAGTGTAAGAGCCGCTATATTGGTAGGTTAATGAGCTTGGCAGGATTGTGACAGTTTTCGTTAAAACAGTAAAACCTACGTATGTGGAACACTTTTGGTTCGTCAAAATAGTTTTTCACTTTAATTTGATTGGTAAGAGTTCCACGGATTGATGTCATGTTTTCCAGTTTCTTGTTCTTCCTCAAAAATGAGGTAAACATTTCCAATCGATTATTTTACATGAGGTTCCGGATATTGGGATTATCCGAAGCTAATACAAAATATCTGCAAATATGAATCCCTAATTATTAATATTTGTTAGGATGGTTTGTTTATCCCATACGTACATCTTGCGCTCATATATCTATTGGGATCACCTCATTATACAGACGCGTATTATACCGAAACCCATTATACCGACGCGCATTATACCGAAACCTATTACTGTAGATTGGGTTAATTTGGCGCTACTTAATTTGGCGATTTTGCCATTTTTGGCATATTGGCGGCTATTTAATTTGGCGGATATGCAAAAAAAGTTAAACTTACGCGCTGTTTGCGAATTACCATGTAAATGGGCATGTTTGGCTATGGCTATGTTCATTTTTCTTTTGAGGACCACTGGCGATATTCATCATGTTTCTGAGATCATCCTTTACATTTTGCACCTCGATCGATGCTGCTACTATTAATAGTATTAATGAGTGACTGACCAGTTCTGAGCCAATTTATGAGAGACATTTTTTCATATTTTTGGAAAAAAATAAACCGGAAGTGACCTAAATACACTGGACGAAATACCCTAGATAATTCCCGGGGATTCATTCTAAGTTTTGGCGAAGATTTATATTGGCGAATTTTTCAATTTCGCCAAATTCGCCAAATTAAAGCGGGCGCCAAATTAACCCAATCTACAGTATACCGACGCGCATTGTGCCGAAAAGACCTACCGATGCGCGTTGTACCGAAATCCGTGCCAGTGGGACGGCACGTTGCCTTAACCCATTAGTTTTATGACATGCACTTCTATATCTTTACAGCGGGAATTTTTTGAAAGTTTTTGTCAGTGTAAGACATAAAAATTTGCAGTCCTAATACTCGCGCGTTTTTCAATATTTTCATTTGAAACTCGCAAGAACGGTGCTTTGAATCTAGCTCTATACTCTTTCAAAACGTCATGTAGACACATGATTAGGTACATGTATGACAGTGCACAGTAACATTATATAGGCATAGAATAATAAAAGTGGAGCCTGAATATGGTGCTATGTTGAAAAGCTAAGAGAAATTCTACTGTATCAGCATATAAAATAGATAGTTGATATATTACTTTATCATACACCTTGGTTCAAATTAAACATGATTTTTTCATTGAACAGACAAGTCTTGAATATTAAAAATTCATTTTTATTTACTTCCATAATATTTTAACTTTAAACTTTTTAATATGAGACTGGATGTTAATCTGTTGTTTATATATTCATATTCCATTAAAAGTTCATCAAAAACATATTTTCAGATAAAGCTTGATTTAAACTCTTTGAACATCTTTACATATCAGTTGCGGCCAGAATTTTTTTAACTGATGCTAGGCGTTTTGGATTGAGGGGTCGTCTCAACAAGCTTAATTCCAGTTAACCATCGATTTCTGTATTTCATAGAGGATAAAGTCATAATTCTATTATTTATGATTGATTATGGCAAACCTTGTACTTCATAAAATATATTTAACCGTGACAAATTGTTGTCTCCATGACAAATTGTTGTCATGGAGAGAGAGAAAGATATGTTGTTATGGAGATAGTAAGAAACGCATTCATTCTTTCCAAATCCAAGTGTGATTTTTATCAATGTGTACCTCAATGATCTCATTAATTCTGAAGTTATTTCATTTTCTAACCATTTCACAAACATTTCTTTTCATTTAATACTTCTAAATTGGTATCGTTTCCATGTTTAAATTGCTTATACAGTTTTTGGCTACTGATATTATCTCTATCATCAGTTTTCATTCCACAAACGAAATATCAATTATCTTGCCCAATATTTCAGTTTCATTATTTTGAAACATTGAATACATGTTTTAATTGCAGTTTAAAATGGTGCTCATTAACTAAGTCCAATAGTCAGCGCCCCTTTAATATCTATTAGGGGCAAATCAATACTAGACTTAGCGGGTCATCTGATTCTCAATTTGATTTTGATTTGAATTGATTCTCAATTGGGACCCATAGTGACTTTGCTCCACCGTTCTTGGTTGAGTTTAAGTCATGGCTCTAATTGGTACAAAAATTAAGCTACCCACGAATGTTGTTTTTCCTCCGGGGCCTTGCCATAACTAACGAAAACAATGGTGTGGACATTTCTGGATTATTTCCGGTGTTTCCTTTTGTTGCTACCTCATTTCTCAAAGTATCCATGCCAATTTCTTGACTCTGTTGAAAGCCCATAGTCCAATCAACCGTATCTCCTTATCTTATGATGACCGCACAAAATGATATAGCGTGGGAACCGACTGTGCCAAATGCTACGGATATTGCAGCTATGTGTGTTGTGTTTTCAAGTGTTATTTTATGTATGTCCGACAAATCGAATTATGGTTTTGATACTATCTAGATGTATTTAATAGTTTCTATATGTCTCGTTCATTCATTTGACCAATAAAAATCATAACTGCCTGGAAAGTAATATGAATAAAGTAAGTAAATAAATGAATTAAAACGTCAAATTAAGAAGCAAAAGTCTTTTCTGGGTCACCGCGAATGGCATGATTTCCTCGAGTCGCTTCAGTTGCAAGGCAACCATACTGGGACCGATTCGCGTCGTTCCACTACTGCCCTTGGTGGGGGCCCGCTACCATACTATATGACTCCCGGAGTTTACTAAAGCACGTTAGTGGAGGAAACAACCACAGTCTCACAATCTGTCTCGGGCAAGAGCGGCCAGAGAACCAACCCATGCCAAGGGCCGGTAAACGGTTGGACCTTCGGACCGGGTGTCCGTAGTGACAATGATCAACAACTCCGTACCTGGGGCTCGAACGCGGGACCTCCGTATCCCTCGACGTTCAACCGCAAAGTAGCCTCAGTCTACGCCACTAGGCTACCCTGCTTAGGTGTCAAAACTGCTAAAAAATAATGTAGTTGTTACAATTATTTGCTTGGATAAACATAATATTACATTTCTTAATTGATTAATCTGATTTAGGAATCGAAGTTCGACCAACGATCAAGGCAATGCAATCAACAACTCTTGCAAATGTGAACGGGAGTCGTAAAGACAGAAAGTACAAGAATCGTGATCAATGTAAAGTAAAATATCTAAGACATGAATATCGGGTAGGAGAAACATTCCAAAATGAAGAAGAATCATTTACAGCATTTGATTTGTTACCAATATATCAATTGCGTCTCAAATGAATGAAATAAAAGGTATCGCGGGCCACTAAAGCCGATGAGTGAAAACAATTATAATTGACGCATCTAGATCGCTCAATATAACGGTAAGTGAATAGGTTTGCGTAGATACGTCGAGGAAAATAAGCTATTTCGACGCTTGAAATAATCTGATTACGCTTACTAATAATTACGCGTGGCTATTAAACACAAGTGTTGTGTAGAACAAAAACTAGAAAACTGAACGACCAATTAGGAACTGTACACTTCAGTTTCAAAGTGTTCAAGATATTAATTCCGCATGTTCAAAAACTCAAAATTTATATTTTAGGCTGTCCATATTTTGTCAGATATCTTCAATTCATATTACAGGGAAAACATAATCATGTTTCCGAAAAGAATTTACACTCGCTACTCACAATGAGGCACGGACACAAGTACAGAGAATAGCCTAGATCTATCTAATAGTGGCTTTTTCATATAGCTTTAAAATCTCGTTAAGGTCTTACTTTAATGAGATTTTAGGAGATTTGCATTTTTAACCACTAAAGACTAACATTTTCTTCTATTTGAATTCTGTGTGTAATTTTTTATCAAAACAACTTATTTTTTTGCACTGTTATTAACCTTTATTCAAATTCTAGAGATTTTAAGTTTTCTAAAAATGGTTGGGCTAAATCCCCATTGACAAAGTAACATACATTGGTAATATAACAGGCTTTCGTCAATGTAACAAAAGCGAGTGGCTTAGTATATGAATTACAGCTTCATTTACGAAACAAATTCCAAATCGAAGAAACTTATTAAAACAAGGCTATATTTTCTAGTTTTGGGCCAAATTATAAACTGCAACTTGACTTATTAGTAGGTTTAAATCGAGAAAGGAAAAAATTCGTAACCCGGAAATTCATCCATTTTGTTACATTGACGTTCCGTCAAAGTAACTAGTTGTGGAACAGTGATTATGGCATTCGGTATAACGCCTTTCGGTACAATGCGCGTCGGTATAATGTGTTTCGGTATAATGCGCGGACCCCTATCTATTTAAGCCATTTGATTTTGCCATTCATGTTTGGTAATTCAATCAATTAGAACACAAAGAAGATTGTCCTCCCCAAAAATTAGATTAGCTGATAACTGCATACATTAATAGTGCAGTACTAAGAAAGGTACAATAACTTGTATATTTCAGAGCACTAAATCTGGTGGTACTGTCACACTAGTTGGCCTGTCTAACAATGAAATGACTCTGCCCATCGTGAATGCTGCCACAAGAGAGGTTGATATCTTAGGAGTACTTGCTTACACAAGAAAAGAGTGAGTCAAAAGAAACTACATTTTTTGGTAGTTCGACATCAGGGTGCCATGTTTACAAGTCAATGGAATATTAAAAGCTGTTTGGTGTATATGAGGGGCATATCATTTCCAAAAGTAAATTCACACTTCGAAATCATGTTTCACTAAAAAACGGTGGGCTTTATAGAATTTGACAAGATCACAATTTGTAGAAACTCACAATTTTGTCCCAAAAACAGGATTATTTGTGATACCATATGAACAACTGTTCGATTTCAGCTACGCCAGCGCTGTAAGTCTAATGGCAACAGGCAGAGTAAATGTGAAGCCTCTTATAACACATACATTCAAACTGGAGGACACATTGAAGGCGTATGAACTAGTCAAGAACCAAGAGGATGGAGTTGTTAAGACAATCATAAGGTGCAATGACTTTGAATGAGCAGATGACTGTACAATGATTTGCTGGTTGCAAGTTTAAGAACTGATTAGATGAACATTTGAAAAAGTTCGCAATATTTTAAAACATTGTCTTCCAAACTCACTGATGTGACTTTTCCCTTTAAATTTCGTCATGAATTACAATTTGACATAATTTAAATAAAATATATATACCAATCCTAGATGACATACCTCCAGTGTTACCAATGTCACATTTGCGCCGGACGATTTCTAAATTAACTGGGCGCCGGTGACTTTTCCCCGATGTCTTCATTTCGCCATGAGTATGGTGAGGCCTACATAAGTACAGGCTGGCACCGTACGGCGCCCGCAATCAATTAAATCTGTATGGTTGGCTTACCCCCCCCCCCCCAATGTAAGCAAGATGCTGATTGATGCATAATTTACGGCGCTAAAATAAACTCAACGGGTGTTTAGATGTTTCTCAACGCGTGTGAAATAATGTCTTAAAGCCCGCTATTAAACATTTTAACGCCGTTAGTTTACGCCTGTATTTGTTTTAATGCGTATAGAATTCACTTCTTAACGGGCGTAATTAATGCCTACACGGGCGTAAATTACGCCAGCACGGGCGTAATTTTACGTTTGCACAGGCGTAATTAACGCCTACACATCCACACAACGCGTGCATACATAGGGTAGGTTGGCAAACCATAAATCTGAAGGGTATAGCAAGGCTAACTGCCGATGAAACTTGATTAATTCTGGAGTTATTAAACTATTATGGTGTAGCTCAGCAGTTTACAACTAATAGTGTAGTAAAAGCATAGAAACATTAAAATCGAACATTTTATGTAAAAGATGCACGGTTCATATATTTGAGACGATATAATTTCTTCGTCAATTTTTTATAGTATAATATTTCTGGGATGGGATCTGGGATTTTACTGTTACCCCTAAATTAATTGACCTTACCCTTTCTCATCGTTTGACTTTGATTCTTAAGATTTTGAAATCGATATAATGTGATATAAACCAGAACAACGGCAACGCCAAAGCGTAGCGAATCCCATCGAACAGAAATGGCTGGCATTTTTACAAACGAAGCGCAAATATCATAAAATAAAACACCAGAAAGGCCACCATTTTTAAAATGGTTGCTCACTAGCCAAGTTGTCATCAGAAGAAATAATATGCTTTTAAGTAGCCACCTCTAAAATCTTTTGAAAAATCGCACACGTACTTGTAAAATAACACACGTAAAAATGGTGGCCATTTTTCAAAATGGCCGACTACTCCCCAAAGTTGTATTAGACAATGTGCCATGGTTAAAGTATTCACATATCAAATATGAAGAAAATCGCTCCACTACTTTTCGAGTTATAGTAAAATACGTTAAAATGGTGGCCATTTTTCAAAATGGCCACCTTCTACCAAAAGCGTCATTAGAAATAGACGTTGTTCCATGCTTATAGTATTCACATACCAAATATAAACAAAATCGCTCCACTACTTTTCGAGTATTAGTAAAATACGTTAAAATGGCGGCCATTTTTCAAAATTGTTTTCAAAATGGCCGCCTTCTACCAAAAGTGTCATAGGACAGTGTGCCATGCTTATAGTATTCACATACCAAATATGAACAAAATCGCTCCACTACTTTTCGAGTTATAGCAAAATATGTTAAAATGGCGGCCATTTTTCAAAATGGCCGCCTTCTACCAAAAGTGTCTTTAGACAGTGTGCAATGCTTATAGTATCCACACACCAAATATGAACAAAATCGCTCCACTATTTTTAGAGTTACAGCAAAAATCGTAAAATGACGAGTAAAGGCCGCCATTTTTCAAGATGGCTGCCATGTGCTTTTTAATATCTACATTTGTAGCATTATTAATGTCCTTTATAATTTTTTTTACATTTAAAACATATTGCTATTACAGTTTTACATATTGCACCTAAATTACTGTAAAATCGTCACTAAAATGGCCGCCATTTTGAAATGAGCGGCCATTTTGAAAATCGGCTTTCGAGCAGAACTTCTACCCCCATAGGGTATATGTGTACGAAATATGAACAAAATCAGGCCAACGGTATTTGAGTTATTGCCCGGACGGACGGACGGACGGACGGACGTACGTACGGACGGACAGAGGCGTTCCCTATATCCCTCCGAACTTCGTTCGATATAGGATAATAAATCATCATCGTAAGTGTAAGTACTATATTACAAAATTACTGTCCAAAGTCTACATGTAGCTAGCTGCACAAATTGACCTTGAGAATAAAAATTCAAACTTATTATAGGACATTGTGCGAAAGTACATAATTAAAAAAAAAGCTGAACATGGAGAATACCAAAAATAACTTATCAGCTGTGTTATATAAGCCGATGGATATCAGATTGGTAAGTTCCATACAATACAATGCAATACAATACAATATCTATCGTCAAATACAGGAACACACGCAATTAAGAAGTAACTTTCTGAAGACTAATTTTGATTGCTCAGTGAGTGAAAAGTTTTGTTAATGATGAGTGGAGAATTAAACTGGTCAAATGAGTCAGCTGCGCTACAAATTGGTCACATTGCCGGTGTAAACGGGTAGGAGGTCCTTTCAAATTATGGTCCTACTCTCCATTGATTTGTATGGTGACCTAAATACAACTCTTTCCCTCATTATCTTATACGCAATTAGGGCCAGTAAGGGCCGTTTATGGGACCATAATCCCTGGGGGACCATCATTTCTTTCACACCGGTGTAAAAGGGTAGGAGGTCCTATCAAATTATGGTTCTACTCTCCATTGATTAATATGGTGACCTAAATACAACTCTTTCCTCATTATCTTATACGCAATCAGGCTCAGTGAGGGCCGTTAAGAAAGGGGACCATAATCCCCGGGGACCATCTTTCACACCGGGATGGTAGTTTTACTATCCTTCACGACTGATGGAGTTCATGAGTTTAAAAATAACTGTCTATTCGAACTGTTGAAAACAAACTGTAATTGAATATTTTTGTTTTTCTTTATTTGTCAGGAAAACAGACCAGTGCGAAATCCAGAAAAGGGAGGTACATTTAAAGTTTAGCCTTTCAATTAATAAATGCGCGAGAATAAATCATAGTTGAACGTATGCTCATGGGGGGGGGGGGTAGAACGCAATTTAGGGCACGCCCTCAGCGCCTCCCCTAGATCCGCTAGTGATGACAATGCTCATTTTCCCTTTACATTCCACATTCTATCTTCTGAGTTCAGTTCTCATCAACTGTAAGCATTATAAGGGCTGACGATTTAAGATGCTGAAATGTCAAAATGACGCATTCTTCATTTGTCAGTTTGTTGTCAGATCTAATGAGGAATTGAAGGATTACTATATTTTGAAAAAAGGTCAAGTAAACTGTTGCCTTAATAAAATTAGCACGGCATTGAACGATCTGATCAAGAAATATTTTCTTGAAAGTAATTCTCAACTTTGTTGCACGATAAGTTGAGAAAATATGTTATTGAAGCTAGATACAATAGAGCTGCACCCATCTACAAAAAAACAATGTCTCATATAATTTAATTTATATTCAGAGGTCCTCCTTTCGATGAGATCGGTGGGGATCTGTGGAACAGATATCGAGTTATGGCTGGAAGGCAGTGCTGGTGGTTTTGGCGTCCTGCCATCAGTCATGGGACATGAGGCCAGTGGAGTCATATGCGCAATTGGAGAAGGGGTCACTAATGTCAAAGTGGGTAGGTAATGTTTGAGTTCAGGCTCATACGCATTATAAACGTATCCAAGGTGTTTGTCATTGTTATTTTCATGTTAATGATATAATAACAAAGTTTGAATAGTTATGTGCTATTCAACATTCCCATGTTTCCAGTTACAACATATCGTTCAACTATTTCCATATATAGCTCCCAATGACAATATGCTCGTAGGGAATGATGCCAACACTACATAAACATTTATTCCAATAGGTGATCGCGTGGCTCTTATGGGAGGCGATCCTTGCGAGAAATGTGACTTGTGTAAAGATGGAAAATTCAATTTATGCCCGGACTTTGGTATGAACTTTCCATGGGATTTTGTAGCCAGATATGCAATTCACACAAGAGCAGAGCAATGTTTCAAGTAAGTAGTAAGTAATGGTGGACATGAAATATTTAGAATTCACAATGGTTTGAGCTTTATTATACTCTAACAATGCAAGAAGTGCACATTTTCATGCTCCTTCATTGTTCCTGGGAAAGGTAAGATGATTTGTGGAAATTTTCGATTCTTGCAAATGTGTGACTGTTGCAAGGCTACTCCTTGAAACTTCCAAAAATTAGCCTCACTTCACACTCTTCATGCTAACTTTGGGGATCCATGCACCTCCAATTCATAGTTATGAAAAAAGCGTTTATGTGTGATGTTAAGAGTGGAAAGAGTGAGTGAAGAAACTACTAGATATAGTATATCTTAAAGTAGTTTGTTTCATGTTTCCATTCCAAATCAATCCGTTTCATCAACAAGGGTGTCTTTAGTCAAGATATACAATTCATATACAATGGTAAACAGAACTTACCAATGTCTTTATCAAAAAATATGGCAGTCATTTTTCAAATTAAGGCTAGCTGACCATGTGAGTTTTGATGAAGGGGCATTTGCCGAGCCACTGGGAATAGCCACTAGGTCTTGTACAAGAGCTGGGATCACAGTTGGAGACAATGTACTCGTGTGCGGGGCGGGTAAGATTGCAATATTCTGGTCATGGCACACTGCTACATCACAGCTTCATCCATGCACTGTGGAAGAATAGGTAGTACAAGTACACTGCAGGTTAAACTGAAAATATTTTGCAATGTGTGAAAATAATTTAAGCAGACGATTCAATGAATTATGGACGATTTATTACACTCGTGTGTTGTTTCCTAGATTTTGCATTCGTGCTGCGGCACTCGTGCAAAGGTCTGGAAACAACACATGTGGATTAAATCATCCATAATGCGAGGTAATATATTATACAAATAGTGACTGCCATTGAGGGCAATAGTATACAAT